ACTGCAGCAACAAAAACCGTCGACGGAGAGCAGAGTTTAGTATAACTCCGCACGGCCAGCAACCCACAACGCTGTCGCGGCCGCCGCTTGTTCTGGTTTTCGTCTTTTAAGTTGTCGTTTTTTGTGTATGCATAAGAAGTGCATGTGTATTCGTTTTTGTGCATTGTTGCAAACCAGGCATTTGTAATTGTTCAGTTTTGTCGAAATTTGTTAATGTTTTTACTGCAAGCACTGCAAATAATACCAATAAAACGCGCGTAAACTGTGCACCATTTTATGGCCTTCAGTGTCAGCCGTCAAAAGTTGTTTTTCTTGTATGAAAACTGATCAAATATTATCCGTTCACGTGGCCAGCCAAGCACATGTTTTAAACTCTGCCAGAAAAAAGCTAATTTCTAACTAAAAGAAATTCAATTTGTATATTTTGTGTGGAGCTAAAAGAAGAAAATAAAACGATTCAAAGAGTCGAATGTGTTGTGTATGTGTGTTGTGTTTAAGAGCGAGCGAGAGGGAGAGAGAGAGCGCAGCGCGTCTTTTACGCTAACAGAGAGTAGGAAAGAGGGAGAGCCAGCCAGCCCAGTCGCCGCCACGCAAGTTATTCACCCCGACAACAACAACAACTACGGCTACGCACACTTTGTCAGTTGGTTCTCACGTATGCGCGCCGTGATTTACGTGTGTGCGTGTGAATGTGATTTGAAAATAAAGAAGAATAAAAATAACAGCCAAAAAAGCATTCAAAATAATAATATTGAAAACGAAGCAACAACAATTGAAACAACAATAAGGGAGAGCAAAGAGAGAGTGAGAGCGGGAGCCACAAAGTGCGAGAGCCGAAAGCAAGACTGAGATTGACACTAAGACTATGCCTGCCATCCGGCTAATCACAGTGGGCACACAACAAAATTGACGCTAAAAGAACAGTCAAAGCACAGAGAACGTGAACTTGGCTTGCAGCCAAAGGAAACACAAGAACAACAAAAGTACAGAATAACAAAAAGAAGTTCAAACTGTGATCTCTCCAAAGGAAAGACACACACAAACACACAGATAACAAAATGATGATGATGGACACACTGGACGCCCAGCCCATGGATGTGGCGCCCGCAGTAGCCGTGGCAGCAACAACAGTTAGCAGTACGCTGGACTTCACGGCCACCATGGTGAATATGGCCGCTACGGCGGAGAGCAATAACAACAACCATATCGAGATGGCCGATTACAAGGAGCACCGCAAGAACAAGAAAAAGAAGCGCGAAAAGCGTGAAAAGGACAAGGAGCATCGTCACAAGCATCGCGAACATCGTGAGCACCGCCGCCATCGGGAACGGGACAGAGATCGCGAATCATCCCATCACCACCACCAGCAAAATGCGCACCATGCCAACAATAGCCAACACTCGACATCCGCCTCCTCATCGCCCTCGTCCGCCTCGACAACGCCATCGGCTACCATTGAGTATGTTGGCGGCTCGGCGTCAGCGTCGCCTTCATATTTGGGGGCCAGCGGTGGCGGTGGCGGCGGCGTCAGCAGTGCAGGAGCTGTCGGAGGAGGCGCTGCTGCTACCACATACCCGCACAATTTAAAAATACGTTTCCTGCTCTCCGGGGTAAGACGCCGAAGCGCATACACGCCCAAATTCTTTCCAATCCATGTCTAGTTTATGCCACAAATTGGCGCCCTTGTTGCCAGCATGTTGCAACTGCAACTGTGTAACGGTTCGCTATTAAGTGTAGATCTATTTTGAGAGCTTGTTCGTCTTATCCATGATGTGTCATCTGGCAGCTGTTTGTTTTTTTTTGAACTCTAGTAAAAACACTTGGAGCGAAAACTCCTCTGATAACTTCTACCTTTAATACTAACTTCATTCAGAACACGTGAAGAGCAACTTGAAGCTCTTGTGCTTCACTGTTTGAACCGTCTTCAGTATGCCTATTCCTGCATGGCTTATATATATTCCGTAAACGAATTGCCAATCAAATTGAAAAGAAAGAAATTCATCAGGAAAACTCTTTGAATCTTCATCAATATTTAATTCAGCAATTTGGTTGGAATGCATTTCGACCCGTTGAAAGCTGATACACCTGATGCATACACCCCTTTTGTGTAAGGACAACAGTTTGGAGTCCTTGAATACGACAATTTGCATAAGATATGCGGGGCATTTGAACCACTTTACAGTTTGTACAATTGAACAAACTCGTTGGCACTTCATCAATAATTGACGTCGCATTTATTTCGTGTCGTGCAGCTGCAAGCTGAGAGCGGTCGCACCTGCCACCTGGGCAAGTGGCTCAAAGAAGAAGGCGGTGCAGGCGGCACACTTGCAATTATAATAAGGAAAGACTCCAATTGGTCAGAATTGCGTCTAGCGCCCGGCGATTATTGATTAGCTTAGTGTGGCATGTGGCATGTGGCATTAAGTGCTGCAAACAGGGGACGGGGCAACAACAGACAGCTGTTCGCCTTATCCCTTTACGTTTGGCGCGCTCAAGGATAATGCCTGTCTGTATCCTGTGCTTGTGCCTCAGCAGGCTCTCAGCCTAGTTTACGACAGCTGCCTTCTGGTCTCTGTGTGTGTTTGTGTGCGTGTGCGTGTTTGTGTGTGTTTTCTACCCCGACTTTATTGTGTTTTTGCTGCGGCTGTTGCTTCCTGGCAGCTGATTGATCCTGGCTTCGATCTTATTACAGCTGCCAGTTATGTATCCCGTCTTCTTCATCTTCTGCTCCTTCTTCTGCTTCTACTTTCTTGCCCTCGTTTCAGGAGTCTCAGGTATGCGGGCCAGTTGCCTTCAGTCTTGTTCCTTTGTGTCGTGCTCTGTATTGGTATTTCAATTCGCAAACAGGACCTTGCTAAACTGAATTCCTTATGACGATATTTTTATTTATATAGAGAGACAGAGAAAGAAAGAGAGAGAAAGATTCTTACATATTTAAGTTAAGCCTATAACAATTTAATAACATATTTTGGATTTGTTCTTCACTTAATTCTAGAAGAAATGTTTGGGCTAATAATAAATATATATTTTAGATGTTGTAAAAATCTCTAGTAGCAAATATGTATATTTGCAAAAAATTTTAAATGAAATATTTCTAATTTTGCGGCAGATTAAAGCCTTTCATGATCAAGTATTCAAGTTAAATTATAGCTCAAACTACTTATAACTACAATAGAGTATTGAAATTCTTTTAATGGTTTATTTCTTGAGCTCTTTCATTGCTTCTACCTGGAGAAGACAAATTCAATGTCCTATCTAAAAAACAGCAGAGGTTCCTTGGGTTGCGCATTGTTCAAATCGCGTTTGGTTGTTTTTTGTTTTTTATAGTCATTTATTTCAATTTGGATAATTCAAGAAATTTCGCGATGTGCTCGGGTTGCGAAATGTACCAGGACAACCCTTTGCTGTGCCCCGATCGGAGAGTGTGAGCATGTGTGCGAGAGAACGAACCCTCTGTGAAAGCTACTCAGACATACGCCAATATAATATTTATAGTTGGTATTTGGTTTCCGGCTGTCGCTTTTATTGAATTCGCAGTGGCTAGGGTCTACGAAAAAAGTTGTACAACAATTGAATTATGCGCGGAAGTACAGTGAGACCCATTTGCAAATGCAAATGCAAAGCACGCAATCGACAAAGGGGTTGCTGGGATATTAGCTGCTGCAGCAGCAGCAACAGGATAATCGCTTTCAGTAATGGCGGATATTTTTGGCCAACAGCTGCTCGGATCGAAATTCATAGAAACGATTTGTCTACAGTCTTTACGGCTTGTTTTTTGCGTTTTCTTGACCCAAATCTAATGAGGCGTGAATGTTTTTAACAGAAATTCGACACTTTTTATTGCATTCAGCAACAGGCTGTATTGACAGCCAGGCAGGTAGGTAGGTAGGTGGCAGTGCGTTATATGATTTGTGACTTCTGATTGGAGTTGTTCGCATTGCCACCAGGTGGCAACGCTGTGAATAGTTTCTGTCTACGTGACTACAATACTACAACAACAACAACGACTATAGCTACTGAACCCCCACCACCCAAATAAACAACAACGCTCTCACGCATTCGAAGCGAGAGAGCGAGAGAGTGGGAACAAATGAAAGGGAACAGTTTGTTTTGGAAAAGAGCGCGACTCCATGAGAGAATGGGAACGGCTGTTCACAACGTCTGTTTTTTGCTCTTCATTGTTTCGTGCATTAGCTGCACAGGCAACATTCACTGCCCGTTCTAAACACACTCTCACACACACACTCACACATATATATCGCTGCATCTGGCAGCATATGGGAAACCACAAAATAACAAAAAAAACTCATCCATTGTTGCAGCACTTCTTGCCCTCGCCGAGTTTTGACAGCGGCTGCTGCATTTTTCTGACTCTGACTCATTTTATTACATGTTGCTGCCGCTTTTACCATTGACAGCGACGTCGACGCAGCCGATAAGCTCTGAGTTGCATTCTATACATATGTGTGTGTGTGCGTGTGTGTGTTTGTTGACTGGCAGCTTTTATAATCTATATGGAACACATGCGGCGCCGTTGGACCCCCTTCTCAGTAAAAAGCAACAACATAGTGGTTGGGCTTTACTTTGCTTTGATTGTCGGTGTCTGTTAACAGCCGGCTGTTACTGTCCAATGTTAATGTTAATCTTGTGTTTTGATTCAGTTTGTTTTTCTTATGCTTTATGTCTGTAAACATGTGTGTTTACATGCCGCAATTTGTGGCCGGAAGTGTCGACACGATTCTTAATGGCCACAGCAAGCAACAGCATATGAAAAAAAAGGCACAACAACTAAGGGTATCAAGAGTTGTCAACGCCAGATTACATCTGATGATCTGATGAACGCGGACTTTAGAAATAAACTCGAGCATTTGCTAAGCAAGAACTTAGGCAGTTTCTTAACCCCTTTGACCTCAGTTACTATAGAAAAAGATTTCCCTATGTAAATAGTTAATGTATAACTAAACTGAACTAATCTAGTTTCCATATTTAATCAATTGCAGCAACGCACTGAATTGAGTCCACCCACGCATCAAACATCCGCCACCGCTGAGGTGAATGCTACATTAGCCACCAGCGTAACGAGTGCAACGATAGCACCAAGTGGCACGACGATAGCAACCACGGCGAGCACACCAATCGCCGCCACCATCTCCACCAGCAGTGTAAGCGGTTTAGCAGGTGGAGGACCCATTGGGGGCTATGCAAAAACAGAGGCAAGTAAAACAATCAGCAGTAGCAGTGGCAGCAGCAGCAAGCATGGCAACAGCAGCAACAAGGACAGCAGTAACACTGTCTCCAGTGGAGCAGCTGGCACCAGCAGCAGCAGCAGTGGTGCGCCCAGCTTGTATGTTTCGGTGCCGTTGTCGACGGCCAATGTACCTGGCATCAATCTGCCCAACAACAGCAGCATTGGTGAGTTTGGCAACACCAGCGCCCAGTAAAGTAAACAACATGACTCTATCAATTGCTTCCAATCCACACAGATTCGCACCCCACTCAGGCGGCCCAGTCACCGCTAACCGCTGGCAGCACATATGCAACGGGCACAGGATCAGCTGCGACAGCCGCAAGTGCGGCTGGCAGTGCGACCAGCTCTGTTATACAGCATCAGAGCGGAAAGTCGTCGCCAGCATTGGGCGGTCTGGTGAGCAGCAGCGCCAGCACGGTCAACCTGACAGCCACTACGACGGAGAGCGGGAACTTGAAGATCAGCTTTGAGAAACAGACGACTCGTGTGCAGCAGCTGCAGGAGCAGGAGGCGGCACCGGCGCGACGCAGCAGGTAAATATTGGCAAGGTGGCCAAATCGAAACTCACCACGGCAAATTCACCATATGCTGCAGTGAACTAAGTTGCCCATGCTCATAGCTTACAAACACACAAGTTGTTTCCATTAGTTTCAGTTGTGTTCTGTTGTTTTGTTGCGTTGGTTTTATTACATTTTCAGTTTGTTCACTAGCGAAAGCCAATCACGTCCTGCGTTCCCATTTATATATCTTTGCATATTTTACTACCCATACCACACACACACACACGCACACGCACTCATCTCGCCAATATTAACTCACATACTGCGCTCTCTAAAAAAAGTTACTCTCTTTCTCTCTCCCTCTCTCTTGCTCTCGCCTGTCATTTTGCTTTATTCACCACATTGCAATAAACCAAAACCCGCCACAAATTTACTACTAACCCCAACCACAAGTAGATCGCGCTCTGGTGAGAATGGTAATCATCATCACCACCATCACCCAACTCACCAAACCCTCCACAATCACCACCAAACATCGCAACCACAGCTATCGTCGCAACAGCAGCAACAACAACAACAGCAGCAACCGCAGCAACCCCAACAGCTGGCACAGCAACAATCGTTGCTGGCCACCGCATCCTCCTCCACGTCCACTTCATCACTGACCACGCCCACCAAACCACAGTCGCGATCGGGCAAGAAGCGCGCTGCTGCACTCAGCAAAAGCGAAGCAACAGCTGCAGCAACAGCAGCAGCAGCAGTAGCAGCAGTATCTGCAACAGCCGCAACATCAACAACAACAATGGCAACAACCTCAAGTGCAGCAGCATCCGGCCCAAACACAGTCGATAAGCTAAGCCGCAATAGCAGCGGTAGTCGCCATAGTTCGCCCCACTATCGTGCCACGCCCACACCACCGCCGCAAGCTTTGCCGCCGGCGAACTCATCGCCGGTAGTTATGTTGCAGGCTTTATCCTCCTCTTCCATTGACTCACCACCGGCAACAACTCGCAATACGCGCAATCAAAATAACAACAGCAACAATAACAACCACAGCCATGTTGCTGCCACTGATCAAGCCGGTAGCTCAACATCCTCCTCGTGCTCCTCCACTTCCTCAATGTCCTCAGCCAGTGGCAATGCTGTTATCAGTCTCTTAGACTCGCCGGTTAACATGTCCACACATCCCCAGCAACATGTTACTAGTTATAATAGTAGAGCCACCAATAGCAACAGCAACAGCAACAATGCAGTTAGCAACAATGCTGCCAAGCCATTGAATAAGAAAATGTTGCGAGCGCAACAAACGCAGTTGTATCAACAGCAGCAGCAACAACAGCAGCAACAACAACAACAGCAACATGTTAATTTAAGCAATGCACCACCCGCTAACGCCTCCTCACCCACTAATCTTAGCTCAGTCAATAGTCAATTTGCCCAGTTGCAGCAGCAGCAACAGCAACAATCACAGCAGCAACAGCAACAGCAACAATCACAGCAGCAACAGCAACAACAACAGCTTAAGCAGCACCAAGATTTAGAAATTTTGCAATTTACTAATACAAATACAAATGCTTCTTCCATGACGACAACGACAACCACAACAACCACAAACAACAACACGAACAACAACAATAAATCAACATCAAAATGCTACAGGACACCCGATCTCAACATGGCGAGCAGCTCAAATAGCATCTCGACAGCGACAGCAACCACTACCAGCAGCACCAACAACATCAACACCACCGGCAGCAGCAGCAGCAGCAACAGCCTGTTAAGCATCAACAGCAACATGAACAGCATTAACAGCAGCAGCAGCAGCAGTGGCGGCCTCAAGTTCAGCTACGAGGCACAAACGATCAGCACTCAGTTGGATGTGCCCATGCTGCCTGTTAGTGCCATCAAGGACTCGCCGCCGAGCTCGCCAGGCTCGGAAATCGGTGCCGCTTTGCACACGGCAATAGCAGCGCCAATTGCTGCCAGCAGCAATGTGCGTAAGCGCGGCCGCAAGGCCAAGGAAGCGACATTGGCAGCGGCTGCAGCTGCGACAGCTGCGACAGTGGCTGCCACTCAACAGGATCTCAAGGATGTGCGCATATTGCAAAATGGCATCGGAGCTGCCATCGTCCCAGCAAGTGCACCCACGCCTCCCGCGACGCCTGCCACAAGTGTGACGAGTGGCAGTGGCAGTGGCAGTGGCAGCAGCACTGCCTCCAGCTCTTGCTCTAGTAGCTCCATCATAGCGCACACAGCCACCCATATGCTGGGCAATCATGTGAATCCCAACAGCAGCGTGGCCCAGAAGCTGTCCGAGCAACTGCACATGGAGGTGCAGGATCATGCCATTTATACGACCGAGTCTATGACTTCCCAGTTCGCCGGCGTGCCGTTTCCTGGCAAGCAGGTAATTACCAAAATCAATTAGTTATATCGGCTCATCTGACTGATTTGTCTTCTTTTATTTTCCAGCGTAATGCCAGCGCCGCGGTTGCTGCTGCGAGTAGTGCAACGCCAGCGCCTAATCCGCTCCAATCCATGTTTGGCGGCGGCGGCATCAATGGCAACATGCCCATACCACAGAGCTTGGAACAGCTACTGGAGCGCCAGTGGGAGCAAGGCTCGCAGTTTCTCATGGAGCAGGCGCAGCATTTCGACAGTGAGTATGGCTAATCCCCAAAGACAAGCGAGAATCGCGAGCGAATCCACTAAAACTCTTACTTTCCTCCAAAACGCAGTTGCCTCACTGTTGAACTGCCTGCATCAGCTGCAGAGCGAGAATTTGCGGCTCGAGGAGCATGTGACCAGCCTAATAGCACGACGTGATCATTTGCTGGCCGTCAATGCCCGCCTCCAGATACCGCTCAACAATGCAATCAACAATACCAAAGCCGAGACACATGGTAAGTAGTGGCATCCACTCTTAGTACTTGGTGTCGGCACCCACAAACCCACACACACACACTCATACACAAACAATTACAAATACATGGTTAACGGAGGCGCCTACAAACTCAATTTAAGTTTTTATAATTGTACATATATTAAAAAAAAACAATAACATTAACAGTCTATGTTATGCTTGGCGTTGCCAGACCTCACACTAATGCTACAACTGACATTTCTTATATATTATCGCATTAATTATATTAATTTAAGCTCAACTGGGTACAAGTGATCACTGTACATAACATAATTTATAAATATAATGAAAAAACAACAATTGAATTAAAGAAAAGAAATCTCATCGTTTCTAAAATAATGAAAACTTGTACAAATTATATATATATAGCTTACAATCAGTTTTCTAAACACGTACTTAAAGCCAATTTTAAGCTTATATAAGTTTTAAATGACATTTCCTATTCATGTAACGGACAGAGCTACTTTTACTTTACTCAAACTATGATTAAAATTAAGTTATTTTTATGCACAAACAAACGCAATCGCAAATTTTTCCTTATTTTATTTATTTTTAAAATGAATAAAATGTGTTTTATAAACCAAAAAAAAAAAAAAAAAAAAAACCAAATGCAAATTATGTATTTATTTAATTTGTGTTTTTTCTTATACAAAGTTTGATCGAATTCTTCATTTGCTCACCTCGTCCCACTGTAAACGCCTAACAGGGGCTTGGGCGCTTTAACAGCGGCTGCTACTGTTCAGTGACAGCACGTTATCATTTGAATCTAATCCCAACTCTATGCTAACAGAATATGTTGCTGTAATCTTTAATGTTAACTGGTGAAGTTTATTGGGCATTTTGTACAGTCGGTTATTTTGCTGCATGCAACTGAGCTACACACACAATCAAGCACACAAAACAATACTTCACAAATTAACAAGTGTGTAAAGAGAACAACTTGTACAACTTTTGCCGTTTTCACGTTAGCCTCTACAAACAGCAGCAGCAATAATAACAGCAGCAGCAACGCTCTCCATGCTGCCACAACAATTGCAGCAGCCGTTTCGTTGGCCACAACCGCTATAAACACAACAATACCAACAATGGCTAACAGTCGGGCTAGCAGTGCCGGCAGCACCGGGAGCGTCCTGGAGTTTCGTGGCAGCAGCAGCAGCAACAACAATAACAACAGCAGCAGCATCAGCAACAGCATAAACAACAATCCCGCAGCCTCTAACTCCAATGCAATCACGTCTGCAACAACAACTCCAATGTCTGCGGTTAGCAGCCTGCCAATGAGCAATACATCAAACTTGGGCTTAAGGTGAGTAATGAAACACCTGAAAATGAAACAAAGTCATTGTTAAATCTCTTCATTAGACACGTCGCAACTTCCCACGGATCATATAACAGTAGCGGGAGTAGTAGCAATATTAACGCTAACAGTGTCAGCAATAACATGCACACACCACATCAACAGCAGCAACAACAACAGCAGCAGCAGCAGCAACATGCAACGTATTTGCAATCTCAACAACAGCAGCAGCAGCAACAGCCGACGCATTTGCACCATGGCAGTGCCGCTGTTGCCGCTCATATGTTGGGCGTGGGCGTGGGCATGGGCCCGACTGCGGCAATTGGACGAGGTGGGTCAGCTACAGCGATTGCTGCAACCACAATAACAACAATAACAACCACAGCAGCAACAGCTACGTTGACAACAACAACAGGCAGCTTGCAACACGGTGGCGCACACTACGCGCATCCGCATTCGCACCACCCACACCACTTTCCTAGCATTCAAGTTCAGTTGGGTGCCGGCGGCGTTCACGTTGATGATTTGAGTAGCTCCTCCACCTCTTCCTACGCAGCGCAACATGCGCTCTACAGCACGCATCACCAGGTAGTGTGTGCGTGTGCGTGTGGGTGCATGTGTGTATGTGTGTGTGAGTGTGGTTGTGTGTGCAAGGAAGTTATAGCATTTTACTATTCGTTGATACATACATACATACATCTAACTATATATATCTATATATATATGTATCTATCCAATATGTGTTGTTTAATGTTTGTATCATTTTGATTTTATGCCGCCCCATCATTATGTATGTTCACATTCATTCAATATTTCAACCCAAGTTCATGTGATTTCTTTTGCCCCCAACTGCAAGCGCCTTTCTCATCCAAATTATACTCTGCCAAAAAATTGTAAATGGTAAATTGTTTGTTGTTTTTGTGTGCCAGCGCTGAAAGATAAAATAAACTGTTACTGTTAAATCTATCTGTTGACCTTACAGCTGCACTCTCATGTTAACTAACATAATGTTGTGAACTCTCTTACAGTCCCAACAAAGGCGCGACGATAACCTCGCCAAATCTAGCTGAAAGTCATATCGTGAGCACGAGCAGCAGCAGGCCCCGCATCCATTGAAGAAGAAGCCAACACTGGCCAGACGTATCCGCCCGACCAATAGCACCAACCAGAAAACAAAGCCACTGATCACCAACAAGCCCAAAACCCATACATACACCAAGCTAAAGCAAACGGCCGTTAGCTTTCAGAAGCTACACCACAATGAAGAAGACGATGTAAGTAGTGCGTGCAGCTTCGTTGGAGAAACCCATATTGAATAATTTCCATCTGTCGATTTCAGCTCAGCAGCAGTAGTAGCTCCTCCACTTTTTCATCATCCTCGCAACAACAGTCGTCGGTGGACTACGAGGCGGAGGATGAGAACGAGGACAAGCAGCGCCAGAGAAGGCACAAAGATGAGAACGATAGCCTAATACATGTGCAGAACTTTCTAAAATGCTTTGGTGCCAACGCCGCCACGCTGAAGGCAACAACATCAACTATTACAGTTGGAACTGCAGTCTCAGCAAAGGTGACCACAACATCGAGTTCTGAGCTGCGCAGCTGGCGGCAAACGCATCGCGCAACACCAGTTGCTGCTACCACAGTAGCAACAACAGTTGCAGCCACCACAATAGTAACAGCAACAGCAACTACAACAGCAGCAACAATAACCGTCATTCAACCAACAGCAACAGTAACAACAACAACAACAACAACAGCAACAACCACAGCAACAACCACAGCAACAACCTCAGCAGTAATCACAACACCACAAGCTCTTTTGACCAACACCAAACCGCAAAAATTTCAAATCAACACAAAATTTTTACGTAAGCCGCGTAACAAATTGATGAAAATGCTGCCCACAACAATGTTGCAGCAGCAGCAACAACAACAACAACAACAACAACAACAACTAGAACAGCAGTCACAGCTATTTATCGATGATTCCAACGCCAAATTCAAAGACTTTTCAATTGACTCTCTATTGAATAAGTGAAAAGCAACATATTTAACAATTAGCCCTATTATTTGTAGCCTAATTCATCACAGAGCCACCCGCTAAAACCGCGTTCCTAAACCCCCCAACTACATATGTATATTTTTTGTTTAGCCAATCGTACAGAATGTAACACATAGAAATCGAATATATATATATAATTAAGTTGTTTATTTATTACATACATTTGTACAACTTATGGCGCAATTCGTAATTAGCATTAGCAGGCGTAAGCATATGTACATATACAATTACTTAATTACACGTTAATAAACCACAACAAATGTGCTAGAATTTAAACTATGTATTTTTTTTCTTGGACATTTTGAATTTGAGCTAGCTGAAGTTCTGATAACAGGCGCCCCAATCGGAGTCCTGTTACTTGCCACCAGGTGTGGCCACTGGAGCCTCAAGGACTTCACGAACGCGTAACATCATTTCCTCGCGAACTTCATTGGGCACCATAGCGCGAGCCTGGCTTAAATAAAATAAGAGAAACGTTTTAAGTTGACTACACCAAAACTCACATCCGGTATAATCATCTTGGCAAGCTCGTCACGTGAAACATTAGCTGTGCCATCTTCCTTCAATTTGTTCCGTATCATTTCTTCAATGTCCTTTCGCCATCCACAATCAACTAGACGCTTTTCTAGAAAATCCTTTAATTCCTTGGTATCATCAGTGTTGAGAAATGATTTATATGCAAACTTAGAGTCGGTTCCTATGCCAGTATCCTTGCTGCTTGCCATAATTTAATATTTTATTTATATGAACCGCTGTATTTGTTGACTCTGTATACGATAATAACAAAGTACATTTCAATACACTCAAATAAGTATTTCAAAGCCTGCTTTGTGGTATCGATCCTTTCCTATAATTAATATACTTGACCAGTTTGTCATCATATGAATCTGCTATCGGTCAACCACCACATCAGGTGACAAAAAATACCAAATACATAAAAATTATATTTTCTGATTATTCTAATGTCTCAATTGGTTATAAAAGCCCCGAAAATACTCAAAAGAAGTTTAAAGTAGATACTGAATATTGTAATGCTAAAATTTTTTCAGACTTTGTCGAGCAAATCCACTGATACGAAGAGCGATGCAATAAATAATGAAATTAATGAATTTCTAAACAGAAATATTACAGTTTCCAAAGAAGGTCTTAGACTGGTGACAATCAAATAAAATTATATTTCCACTGCTCTGCCAAATTCTCACTACACCTGCAATTATGGCACCTTCCCAATTGGTTATTCTACAAGCCTCTTTAATGATCAGTCGAACACACTTCAATGCAACGAATGCAACATAAATGAAATAATACTTTTAAATAATATTTTTGAGTATGAAAGATAAACAATACATATATAAAGTATATTATGAATTATATATAATTCCGTTTCTTAAGCATCTTTTTATATGTGTTAAATACATTAAATAATTGATATAAATCTGAAAGAAATTGAAATTTTCCTAAAATTATTTGCATATTTTTAAATTTATAAAAAATATGTGAGAATACTACAGATCTGACCATATAATATTTATACAATTCATGCATTAATTTAAAATTTACAACAAAATCCTTGGACATTCCATGATAATATTTAAATTTTGTTGAAGTGCCGCCAAAACAATAGTGCTGCCACCTTATACAAGCAAGTGGCCAGACAGCATAACCATCGATAGTTTTTATTTAATCCGAAAAAGTACTCACAAAGTAATATTTGTATGTGTTGGTAAATAAATATAAATGTATGTGGTATATATTTATATACCTATGCAAGTATGTATATCTTAGCTACATGCTACCTCTTTTACTTTTGGGTTATGTTTTATTGATAAAACTCAAAAAGTATCCACACCGATTAACTATGCCAAATCTCATCTTAATATGTGTAACTATACGTATAGATATATACATAAATATGCACATAATATATAATATAATAATAATTTGCATGGTTGCTCCGATTTGTATGGTTTCAATCAATTCCAATTTATTGCCCACACACCCGCCTACAGAAATACAATAGAGCCGGCTCAGTGGGTTGGAGCTGTCGTCATCACCGCTTGAGGTGAACTTGAGTCGTACACAAATATATTTTCATATGTACGTGTGTATGTGTTTGTATATACACGATACAATTGTCAGATTATGGTTAGACGAGAGTATATTCGATATATGTATGTACATGTATAGCTAAATAACATACATACGTATGTATATATGAATGTGGCTTTTGTTTGGATTTGATTTAAAACAGAAAATTTCTAATCTCAACAACTGTTATTAAAAGTAAATAAAACAAGCTTCTTTTTCGAGTCAACGGCTTTGATGTTTGCTAGAAATGTAGGATACTTAAAAAATTGCAATATGGGTGTATCCAAGTATGTCATTATTATGTATGTGTGTACATATATCTACACAGTGTTAGTTTGTAATCACAAACCTACACATAACCTCAAATTACAAATCAAGTTCCGTTGGCAATGTATTTCGATCACATACATTCATACTAGTATATACATATACATGTAGCAGCCTGCCATCTGTGCGGCTTTTTGTGCATTTCCTGTATGTTCTTGTATTTCTATGAAAATTCGATAGCTGCAGCTGTTGGCCTGCTTCTCGAAACTTCGGCAGTTGCTTGGAGAGAGGTAAAAGATGGCAGGCAACAACAAGCCGGTTCACCTAGGTTTGAATTGTATACGACCAAAAGCAACCCCCGTAATATATATTTATGTATACATAAAAGGCGAGGTACAGGCCACCGGCAATTACCGCACTCACACAAAGATGAAGTCATCGCCTGACTGCGTGTTTTCGTTATGCTGCAGCATGACTCATCACTAAATCGATTTCCTCACCACATGGGGAGCAATTGGGAGGGTAGGCTAATTTTAGGTGCATGCCACGCCCATGTACAGCCAGACACTGGAAACTGCAGTAAAGTAGAAAGCTTAACTGCACTATTAATAGAGCATGTAGAGCTCGCACTGCTTTCCCCAGCCACATCGGCATTTATCTTTAATTACAAGCGGCCCGGCCCGTTCAGTGAACCTAGCTGAAAGAAATACTTGGTAGAAAGAGGAACAAAGAAAATGCGCTTAAGAGTTTCTTTTGCTGGCAACACTGACTATTCGCTGACTTTATTTTAGTACACAGTTTTAGAGCGATTCGTTTTTTTCTTTTTGCTATTTACGTGTAATGTGTCTGTCATTAAAATACTAGTAGGTGTTCCCCAACGTTTACTCGAGTGTTGTTTCTTTTCTTTTTTAATCTTGTTGAAGGCAAAACGTGGGCATTGGTTTCGACGTCTTTACCGTCCACCAATGACGCTTGCTACGTGTGCGTTGTTCTTTTGAGTGTGTTTAGTACTCCTCGGCACCCTCACCCTCACCATCACCAGAGTCCATGCCGACCTCCTCGTAATCCTTCTCCAGAGCAGCCAAATCCTCACGGGCCTCGGAGAACTCGCCTTCCTCCATACCCTCACCGACGTACCAGTGGACGAAAGCACGCTTGGCATACATCAAGTCAAACTTGTGATCCAGACGGGCCCAGGCCTCGGCAATAGCCGTGGTGTTGGACAACATGCATACGGCGCGCTGTACCTTGGCCAAATCACCTCCAGGCACTACAGTGGGTGGCTGGTAGTTGATGCCCACCTTGAAGCCAGTTGGGCACCAGTCCACGAACTGAATGGTACGCTTGGTCTTGATTGTCGCGATAGCGGCGTTGACATCCTTAGGCACAACATCACCACGGTACAACATGCAGCAGGCCATGTATTTGCCATGACGGGGATCGCACTTGACCATCTGGTTGGCTGGCTCAAAGCAAGCATTGGTTATCTCAGCCACAGAGAGCTGCTCGTGGTAAGCCTTCTCGGCAGAGATGACAGGGGCGTAGGTGACCAGTGGGAAATGGATACGTGGGTAGGGCACCAAGTTGGTCTGGAATTCAGTCAGATCTACATTCAGGGCACCATCGAAACGCAGCGAAGCTGTGATCGAAGAAACAATCTGGCCAATCAAACGATTTAGATTGGTGTATGTGGGGCGCTCGATGTCCAAGTTGCGACGGCAGATATCGTAGATAGCCTCATTATCTACCATGAAGGCGCAGTCAGAGTGCTCAAGAGTCGTATGCGTGGTCAGAATTGAGTTGTAGGGCTCAACGACAGCAGTGGACACTTGAGGTGCGGGGTAGATGGCGAATTCCAGCTTGGACTTCTTGCCGTAGTCCACAGACAGGCGCTCCATCAGCAGCGAGGTGAAACCGGAGCCAGTGCCTCCACCGAAAGAGTGGAAGATCAGGAAGCCCTGGAGACCAGTGCACTGATCAGCCAACTTGCGGATGCGATCCAACACCAGATCAACAATTTCCTTGCCAATGGTGTAGTGACCACGCGCATAGTTGTTGGCGGCATCTTCCTTGCCAGTGATCAACTGTTCGGGGTGGAACAGTTGACGGTAAGTACCAGTGCGTACCTCATCGACCACAGTCGGCTCCAGATCAACAAACACAGCACGCGGCACATGCTTGCCAGCGCCGGTCTCGCTGAAGAAGGTGTTGAATGAATCATCGCCACCACCGACGGTTTTGTCAGAGGGCATCTGACCATCGGGCTGGATGCCGTGCTCCAGGCAGTACAACTCCCAGCAGGCATTACCAATCTGGACACCAGCCTGGCCAACGTGGATAGAGATACATTCACGCTGTAGATGAAAAGAACAGAAAATAAGAGAAGTTTGATTAATCGTCGCTCTGCCAAAGTGAAAAAATCGATAAAGCCGCACCCATTACGATGGTGTCAGTATGTATGTGTGTGTGTGTGTGCGACAGCACATTCACGTTCAGTGAAAATTCTTTAGACGTAGTTTTTAGGCAATGCCCCACATTTTAGAGCTAAAATAACCCGAATATTGGTAGTTATAAGGCGTTTTTTTTTTATATATAACAATTTTGGCGAATTTATCATGACGTCACCAATTGTACGGAGCCGCCATCTTGGAACATGGCTTCAAACCATGTTGGGAATTGGCAACAAAAATTTTATTGAATAAAAAAAAATAAAGGAAACAAATGTATGAAAATATTTTAGCTTACCATATTGAGTTTTTATAAGATTTTTCACACGACAAAGAAAATTTACAGAAAACTGTAGAGCAACTTATTGAGGCCTGTCTCGGAGAGAATCTACGTTCGAATAACCGGCTATGAGGCTTCACAAACGTATAACGAAAGTTTTCTCATCGACTGCTATTTATACTCTCGGAAACTACAATCTTTGAGTGTGTGAGTGAGTACAAGCTAATATGATGCTACTTAACTCGATGTATCGATATTTATTGAAATCATAAATACTTGTTTTGGCGTTGCCACTAGTTTTCATTTTAAAACGAATGTTGATACGCGCCTTATTCAAATAGTAAATAAATGCTCAAAATAACATAGTCAAAAATAATTGATTATAAATAACTTCTAAATATATCATCTGACGTCATAAAACTGGCTGTACTCTTGATCTAATCCAATATAATAAATGACGATTTAAGAGACAATAATTCATTTACCTAGACTACAGGCCTAGTTTTAGATGTACAATCTTGACATCTACTTGATACGTTTAGATATTTACTGACTATGCAATATGTTAAATATGCATATACAGCACATATAAATGAAGAGAAGTAAAGATATCCCAATATCAGCGGGCACCAATATAAAGGAATCTTACGTTATCATTGCCTGTGAATTATACTTCAGATTCAAATAAAAATGATATAAGAACAAAAATATGAGAAATAAACTATTACTGAAATGGAAAATTGTTTTTAAGCCGTTTCGTGGCTGGCGTTTTTAATAGTACATATACAAACTACTACATATAATTTATCTACAAACCACAGCAAATGAATTAATAATTTATACTTGACAACCCTACTGAAAAAAAAGATATAGACATATGTATACATACATGTGTTTGTATGTTTGTATGTATACTTTATTGGTACAAATTCATGCGCGTTTTAAAACGTACATGTTTCGCGTTTGATTTTCGTTGCAACTTGGATTGATCGTCATTATTTTAAAATGAACAACTGGTTTAATAAAGCGATCTACGATAATGCTGAAAGATTATACTATGAGGCAATTGATGCAGGCAAACTAGAACGAGACATTTGTGTGAGTTCATTTAAACAGAAGCTTTCTTGAGCTGGACCTTCAGCATTATGTTAATTAAAAGAATTTGTGTGAAAATGCAACAAATAATATAAATAACATTCCGGTCTCAAGCATTATTGTGTAATTATATTTTGTGAATTTAAAATGAAGTCATATACGTACACACACACACATACATATGTATATGTAAATATGTATGAATACATGTACATGTGCCTACTGGCGCTTTTTTAGTTGTGCTAAGCTTCAACCGGCAAACTTTCTTGTAGGTGGCAACTCTAGACGAATCAGCTGCTGCTGCGTTCTCCTTTGTTTAAGCATTTATTTTTGTTATTTTTTAAAATTATACAGAAATCCACCTGTACCGGCCACATTATTACTGCGCCAAAAAAAATAAAAAAACGTAAGGCGATGGCCGAAAACCAACAGCAACAACAAAAGAAGTTATTATACGTGAGTATTAGTTAAAAGATCAGGGAGTACAAGTAAAAATACAAAGATTCATATGAATTATAGTTAAATCCCCTAACACTGGAAGCGAACTTTTTTCTGGAAACACTGGAAGAAGTTAATCGCCAAAATCAACTTCAATTAGATCCACATTTGACGCATTTGCTAGAGCGCATTGTTGTTGGCATTGAAACATTTTTGGACAAGAAGCCTACGTACATAGTATCCAAGGCAGCGCAACAGGTCTCTCAAGAGCATCCGAATACAACAGATGCTGGCGGACTAACCTTTGTGCCGCCCCATGAGTTGCTGAAAATCAAGAGAACATTCAACTGCACTGCCTGCACGCATCGTATTGTGGGTACAACAATTGTCAAAGCGGTCGCCCATTTGGCTGAACAACATCCGAATCCGAATTCGAATGCAAATTCGTACCCTCTTTCTGCACAAAATGGTAACATCAATGATCAGCGACCGACAATGACGAAGCAAGAGAAAAAACGCGCAGAGGTGGAAGCACGCACCAAGTTAAGTGTAAATCTGCCGAAAAGTAAGTAAGAAACGGTTGTAAGCTTACAAGCTTTTAACTAATTGAACTATATTTATTTTTGCAGAGGTTAAGGCTTTGGCACTGGACGATATGAGTGATATGCTTCGGGATAAATATCAGATTGCGGACAAGCTAAAAGTATTGCCGCAATATGATGACATTGAGGAGGATTTATGCAAGCTAATAGCGCCTGCGTTTGTCAACAAACCTATTCGAATATATAAATTTGGATCACGGATAACGGGTATTGGAACCCGCTCATCAGATTTGGATGTATTCGTAGATATCGGTTAGTATTCTATTAAAGATTGCAGAACTGATTGTTTTATCATTAAAATTAAACTTTTAAATCAGGCAACAGCTTTCATCTCTTCGAGCACCGAGCTGGCAAGAATACCATTGCTAAGCTCCGGGTATTGCGTGGATTGTTCGTTGACAGCGATGAATGGCGTATTATCAATGTAGAACACCTATATCTCTTTTCATCAAGATTATTAATTTTTGATCCCTTTACTAATTAGGTCATAGAACAGGCGCGTGTACCTATAATTAAAACGTGTCACCTATCATCTGGCATTGAGTGTGATATATGCTTAAATAGCTTGGGTTTTTGCAACACAACTTTACTCAAGTATATATTCGAGACGCAGCCACTAAGTGAGTTAATTAGACATTTTTTAAAAATAATATAATACGAATCTACTTTTGCAGCCCAGTACATGTGCATTTTCTTGAAAACCTGGCTGGAGAGATGTAGACTTACAGAACAAATAACAACATATAGTATGGCCCTAATGGTTATCTATTATTTGCAAATCAGACAATTGCTTCCATCGATTGCATTGCTTCAGCAGTGGGAATCAATGTCTGCTAAGCAGTTTGTGGGACGTGAGTGTTGCTGATAATAACAGCAATTATGCGTACTTTTCATTTTTACATTTCGTTTGCTTGCAGCTTGGATTACTAACTTTCAACAAACGTCACTCAATGAATTGGGAATGCAGCATATAGAGGTCACCATGCCCGTTCTCAAAGAGTATTTAAAGGATCTGTTAAAGTTTTATGCAACTTTTAACTATGAACGGAACATGGTTTGCCCATACTTTGGGAAGAAACATATATTTATTTCACGCATCGAAAAAGAGATGCCAAAAAGGTAAACAAATAATGGATAAATGGAACGAATGAATAAAAAGTTAACAGCCGACTCATTGACATGTTTACATTTAGGTATGCGGATTATGCAAATCAAAATCCAGAATGTGCATTACAACTTCGGAAGCCAATGGTCGTTCAAGACCCCATACAATTGAATCATAATGTGACAAAGGCTGTCACGAAATATGCATTACAGAAATTTATTGACTACTGCGAACAAACGGCATCGCTGCTCTGTGGTACTATATAAAACTCATTCATAAAGTTCTTCAAATTATTAAATGATAATTGCCGTGATAGAATAAAACAGAATCGTCTTCATTTAAAACCTTTGGTATTGCGGCATTTTATTACTTGGCTATGCGACTGCGTGTGTGAGCATTATAAAAACAAACACAAAAACATAAATATAAAACGAACACACAAGTACAATAAAAATATTTAAAGGCGCCAAGCATTGGGCCACAGATCAAATGTTGTACTTAGGAAAATGATTGTAAAGCATATAATCAAAATGGCTCCAATAAGTGAGAAACGATTGTACCAATGTTGCTTGCTCTCCTGCATCATGGTATAAATGCGCATGGCGGCTTCTTCCGTGGCATCGACGCTGCCATTATTGTCTACAACGAAATGGGACTTCTCGCATTTTTTCTCTAGTGGCATTTGCGACTCGATCCGATTCAGCGCCTCCGTCTCAGAGAGTTCATTGCGTGCCAACAATCGCTGCAACTGCTTATCGGAGTCACTGCATTTTAATAAATACGTACTTTATTTTTTTTTAAATATATGTATATATAATTGTTAAGCTTACCAGGACACGGTCACAATTTTGTGTATAAAATCCATAAGAATACCTGTCTCAAAGAGTAGTGGCAAGTCCAGGACAATCCAAGCGTGACCAGACATAAATAGCTTGAAGACACGCCAAAAGATAGTTCGATGTATTACGGGGTGTGTAATCTGATTTAGTTTTCCACGTAACTCCTTATTCTCAAAGATCATTCTTCCTAGTGCAGCCCGATCCAATTCTTTGCTGGGTAGCAGTACTTCGTCGCCAAAGGCGGCACGAATCTTTTGCCAGCATGGCTGACCTGGTTCTACAACTGTGGGGGCGTCACGTATTGTTAATTTAAGCTGAAGTACGCTAATTGAACGCTCAATTACAACATTCCGTAAGAAATATATAACTTACTCTCCCTCGCTATTCTATCCGCATCAATGACTGGAATGCCATTACGTTCGAAGACTTTAGTGACGGTGCTTTTCCCCGTAGCAATGCCACCAGTTACAGCCACTATAAACATATCGAGACAAAATAAATAAATTTTATGGAATGTTTTACAGCCTTTTCAGTTATTGTTGACAGTTGTGTGAATTTTTGCACTGTAATCGGTTTGGGGCTGTGAGCTTATCGATTTGTTCATAGTTACGTCAGGCGCTTTACAACACTAAGTAGGCATATTTTTTGAATGTTATACAGCACGTTTTTTCATTGAAAAGTCAGCCATCTTTAACTTTAATACATTTTCGTTCTCGTGCGTCGTTTGCGGCAGTTGGCGAAATTTTCAAGCGTTCGTGTCAAAAAGTTCTTCGCTACGCGCATTAAATATCAGTTTCAGGAAACTTTAAACGATCTCTTTAGCATCTGGAAGTTAAGCATCAAATCAGAAAAATGGTGGATAAAATCGAAATGAGCTTGGACGATATCATTAAGTCAACGCGCACACAGAAAAAGCCGCAGGGTGGTCGCGGTGGGCCAGGTGGAGCTCGCCGGCCAGCTGGACAACAGAGGTTTGGTACTGGCGGTTCCCGACGTGGAGGTGGTCCTGGTAGCGGCTCTCCACGTAAAGCAGCACCAGCTAGTGGTGCCGGCGGTGTGCTTAAAGGTCGTCGCGGTGGTGGTGGCGGCGGCGGTAGTGGCGTCGTACAGAAGCCTAGGCTCGCACGGGTAATTGAACGTTACGTTTTGTCATGTAGAGAGCCAAAAAGCAGCACAATATCCATGCACATGCATAAAAAGGACAGCCCAAGTTGGAAACTCACGACTCTTAGCAAATTTCACAAAATGATTATAAACAAACACTGATAATATCAAATATGCTAACAGCTGCAGACACACGGATTCAAAATGGCCACCGTATGCAGAATAAACGGTATCTGCACCGTTATTTGTATCATATACCATGTGGACAGACAGCTGCAAAATGGCGGCTACTAGTGGGCAAAAAATATATTTAAAAAAAAAACTAACAAACAAAAACAATGCACTACCGCACTGTTTGGTTGTGTTATGGATGACGCGGCAACATCAGAACTAGAACTACACAGAATTGCGTCGAAATCGAATTCACTTATGTATTTACAAGTTTTACAGCATCACATTTCGTTTGAGGATTTCGCGCTTGTTGCGATTTTTTTCTTTGTAATCCCCGTTTATAACACGTTTAATATTTCTTTTGCGCTTGCCAAATCAAGCAAAAAGTGGCAGTCAATCAATGTACATTCATACATATTTAGTGTTTCTGCATTGCTTCGATGGCGTCCTCTTGATGTGGTTAGGATACAACAACTGCTGCTGCTACTACATCTCCCACATATTTGATCAGAAACTTGTCCCCACGCGTTCCGTTCGAATCAACCAACAAATCTTCTACCTAATCCCCCCTTTAGGGTGATGTAAACAGCGCTTGGAAGCATGATATGTACGATGGTCCAAAACGAAATAGTAGTGCTGGAAACAGTACGGGGCCAACACGTTTGATTGTCGGCAATTTGGACTATGGAGTCTCAAATACGGACATCAAGGAGCTATTCAATGACTTTGGCCCAATGAAGAAAGCTGCCGTGCACTATGATCGGTCAGGTCGCTCGTTGGGTAAGACAATGTTTAAACATTATCTGTATACTGCTTTACAGCTAATATTTGTATGATTTCTCATAGGCACCGCTGATGTAATATTCGAGCGTCGCTCTGACGCCCTCAAAGCAATAAAGCAGTACCATGGCGTACCCTTAGACGGTCGTCCCATGACCATTCAACTTGCCGTATCAGATGTTGCTGCACTCACGCGTCCAGTGCCTGTCGATGATGTGAAACGTCGTGTGGGCAGTGCCGCAGGATCGCAATTTAAACGCGGTGGTATGTATTTTTAAGAAGCGATTTTTGATCCATATCACAAGTTCTTCACACCTTATCTTAGGTGGACAGGTAGGCGGCGGACCACGTCGAGGTAGTTTCCGACGTCCAGCTGGTGCAAAACCAGCTGCGGGCGGCCAACGCCGCGAGAGGAAAGCTGCTCCAACTGCCGAAGAATTAGATGCTGAATTAGACTCGTATATTAATGACATGAAAATCTAATTAGCTTTAGTCTGAACACATAGCCTAAACACACAAAATGGACTTAATACTATGGTTTAACAACAAGAACAACTCAACGAACCGAACTTGTTTGAGAACAGCTTTTAGTCATAATATCCTGCATAATTTTTCATTTAAATTATACACAATGCTGTTTGGGTTAGCGCATTAAATGATTTGTTGTTAAATTTATCAATGTAGCGCCCTGCAAGTTGATTAATCAGAAATACATACTGATGTATTTATTCATAAACTAATTTTACTTCATAAAAGAACATTGACACAAAGGTCATAATATTTGTATAATCAGGTATAATAAATATTAGATGTAAAAGTAAAACTCAAGATAAATAACTGTATAATTTGAATGTATGTCGTCGAATGTACGTGCCACTAGAATAAAGACTTTCAGACCCTGTCAAATATATACAAGAGGACGACTAATATGCATTTTAACTATGATCTGTAAACTTATATTGCCCTGGCCTATATTAGTGATTAATTAAGGTCGGTCCGGTCGGAGGATTTCTTGTTTAATAGATCAATAGAGATTCTAAATTCAAGTTATAGGATTAGTACAAGAGCTCATTGCACTTATATAAACAAATATGTATATGCGTGAATATACGTCTATGTGCGCGTTTAGTAGACTCAAAACAATTTCATTAAGTTTTAAATGTAAATTTATTTTGTGTTTATTTTGCAATACATATATGTAATTATAAAAAAATGTGGTACAAATTTTGCAGACCATTTCAAATTTCAATTGGACACTTAAGTACAAATGCAAAGTTTGGTTATTTCCCTAACATATTGTACGCATTGTTAGAGTTGTTTCATCAGGGCGGAATCGCAAGTCACTTAAAGTTTAAACAATTGTGTATGACGGTTTAAATAGTTTAGTTAGTAGAACAAAATACTACATAAAGGGAACAAAATCAGAGAGCGGGATTAAGTTCTGCAATCAAATCGCAGTATTCTAATTTTTAAACATTTTGCATAGTAGCCAATTTCGAATTTAAATATGAATGCATAAGCGATATATGTATATATTAAGCGATTTATATTTATAAATGTGTAATGGGGCTGAGGATGTCTTGGTGTGTGTGTGTGTGAGAGTGTGAGAGTGTATGCATATGCATGAGTGTGTGAGTGTCAGTAAATGCATAAGCACACGTCTAAGCCATATTCCCGGGGGTTCCTCTACCAGAAACCGCCCGATGAGTAACCACCGGGTGGAACACGACCGCGCGCCTGATCATTTGCTGCCTTGTTGCCATTGGTGCTGTCTTTGGGCGGACTGTCGGGTGATGGTTTTGGCTCCTCCTTTTGAATGGCTGCTTCATCACGTAGCTTCTCCACTACCTTATTTGCATCGGTGGAGCCCATGCAAGCATTTAAATTGGAAGAGTTTTGTTGATTGAATTTGGGACGTGGTGCATTCACAGATACTTCAGGTTCCGAAAATATATTGGTATGTCCGCCACCTGGAGGCTTAAGTACTCGGCTGGAAGGACGAGCACTGGTACTCAAGCCAATTTTCAGTTCGGTGGATGTCATATTAGCTGCTTTTTAAATGGAGCTGCAAGTGCACGTAAGAGTTAAGATACATTAATAGTACAGAAATAAACGATTGATTTATTTAAAGCTATCAAAAAAGTTCTCAATTTCTTTTTCTACTCATACTTTCTAGAGACTGGAAATATATGAACTCATTTATCTAGTATGTACAAATGTACGTACATAACACGAATACCGTCACGCCTCTTACAAAGCTGGGAAACAATGTAGTAACAACGGTGACTGGCGTCAGCCAACTGAACCATGGGGGAAAATGCCAGAATAGAGAGAAACGTTTAACAAAAACAGATTCAGACAACAGCAGAATGGAACATTCTCCTCACATCTTTCCTCTCCACTCATTCACTCACATACTCTCGAGTTCGCTATTCACATTTATGTAGACATACTTATATACATAATGTACATACAGACATAATTTTATCTCTATTTTTGAGCGCCGGCTTCTTTATTTTTTGCACTTTCCCGTTAACTATAATTGCGGACCTAACAACAGCGCACTTTCTCATTTTTCTATTTTGAGTTTTTTGGCATCTATTTCGATGTCAAGCAGTTGCATATTATGCACAAATAATTACTGTATACAATTTTTTGCTTACTAAAAAGGGCTTTCAAAGCAAGTTGATGACTCTCTAGTTGCTCTTAACTTTTCATTCAATGTTTTCAAGTTTTTGGCAAGTACGTTGCTCAGCATACAGTCTGTTTTGGTATGGGGGAAAAAAGTTGAAGTGGGGGCATAATATGCGAAGAGATTTGCGAGTGTTGTAAAACGCGGGTAGCGATGCGTCATGCTTTGTGGGAGGCAACAAGCACGGATGAATTTTCCCCCGGGGGTGCACAATACATAAGCACACACAAGCGCAAATATGTTGAGAAATGGATAGATGTACAAACAGACATAATGTGTAGGTATGTGCATGTCTATGTCGAACAAAGCGAAGTGAATGACCGATTAATGCAAAGAGTCAAAGATCTCAAAATAACAGACTTCAATATGTTCTAATTACTGCCATTTTATAGACCTATAACAAATCATTAATACTTATTTTTATATGTACAAACACCGATGCGTCAACTTTTTTCATCATATTTATTGTATTGGGCACGCCGACCAGCCCTACTCAGCTACAGGTAACACATACAAGTGCTTTTACTGTTATTATTATTTATAGCAGCTGTATCAGTATGTGTGCAAGTATTTACGTAGAAATTATGAGTAATGAGCGGTGAGCAATCTGGATAAAACTTGAAATTGAAGGTTCGCCGGTTCGATTCGAATCTCTTAGGCTCTTGTTACGATTTTGTTATTTCTTCGGGACTTTTGTTTATTGCCTAATGGCAAGCGGACGTCGAAAAATTATGGATAAAATACATTAAGACAAACATGGTCATGTGTTGTATATTCAATACCTAATGTGTGTGAATAACAAAAAGCAAATCTAGTTTTACCAGTGGTGACCAACCTATATTTATTTACCACTTTATCTAATGAGCATTAGCAAACAAAAAGCGACCCGAAGCAGCGTCGTCACTTCCACAAAATGCAAAAAAATAAATTATCAACTCTCACGCACACAGTTTAAGTTTCATACATATACGTATACGTATGCATTTGTACATGTACATGTTTGTATGTATGCCTTGTTTAGCCAGTGCTAAAAGTTCGGTTAAAACTGCCTGTAGCTAGTTTTTAGCGATTATTAAGTTCGAAGCATGCAGTCGTTCACCTAAAAAAGCAAAATGCAAACATGGCTACTAAAGCAACCAGCTGCCTATGCTGGGCCTGGAAAATGGAACGCCATCAAGAATATCGGGAGAATGGGATGCGCTGCGTTATTTTTATGCTCCGTACATGTGTGTATAAATGGCGTTCTGGCAGCTGTGCTAAATAAAACTTAAAAGCAGCTGCACTCCATACATACATGTGAATATAGATACAACACATATATGTATATATATGTACAGACACGAATATTTACACGGTTGCCTATGCAAAAGCCTTTCATCATTATCAATAACATAATCATCACCAAACAGATGCATACATATGCATGTATGTATGTTAGTTAGTTCGGTTCGGCTCAAAATACCATGACACAAACACAAGTAAAAATATGACTATGATTGAGTTTTCTTCCGGAAAATTATTGATTTGATTTGCTTTGCACCGCATTCAACAAGTTTGTATTGTGTGGTACTCATTAACAGTCTACACAGTGAAATGTATGACTTACCTTTTGTATTTGTTGAGCAAAATGCCCTTTATTAATCTGCGATTATAAATTAACTAGAAAATCACACGGCGAAAAACGACGCCACCTTCGCAAATGAACGGTTTATTTAAAATGGTCTAAGACAGTGTGGCCGTAGGGACAAACGAGAATATGACAAAAAATTTATATACTAATCTTAACATAGCTGGTATCATAACCGATAACCGGTTTCTGTTAACCGCTTTATAATTCAATTTCATATATTTAATTAAAATAGCATTTAAATAAAATGAAATATAATAATTAGATATATTTTTAAAAAATGGTTAATTTGAAAATTTATAGCTGCAAAAGTGTAGTATTTACCATTTTTATAATTAGCCACTATGCTTTAAATATTATCTAAATATATAACAAAAATTATTATCTAAATGGATAATTATAGCATAACAGATAGCTGCTATAAAATGTAGCTGACTATGAAATGGTCACTCTACTGTAATACGAATGTGATCAGCTGATAAATTTTCCAATCCGAATGTTGAATTTGGAATGGCCTAAACATATTTTTGAGCATAATATCCCTGTGATTTACTTAAGTAAATCATGTTTTGAAAGACTATTTTAAAACCGATCTTTCCTTATTTCTCCTAGAACCACATGGAAGAAGCATTATTTCTACTTCCCAACAAAAGATTAAAATCTGTTTACTTGTAATTAAATTTAAATTGTTTCATTTATTATAGAAAACGGTTTTTGCGGGTCATTTAAAGTTATTAATCAACTTAGATCCTTGATGGGTACAGCATCTAAAAATAATAAGGGGAAAATTACCATTTAAAACTTTTACGATTGTGCATAACTTACGATACGGATGCGGTGTCCCATGGCGTGACCGGGCAAATTCCTGTTGAAGCGTGCACGCACGGATCCAGTGTTGCCGTGGATACGGGTAACCTTGCCCCAAACAGCGCGGACACGGGTCTTGCGCTCAGGATGCTGAGGTACACACTTCTTGGTCTGCGCTTTGTAAACATACACGCAGCGTTTGCCAACATAGAACTGGCCGTGTTCCTTGCGACGAGCACCCTCAATCTGTAAGTTAAATTTTAATTATTCAATTTTCTTAATTAAAAATTTAAACGTTCTACAGACAAGACGATATAAGCTTACCTTAAGGATGGCATGGTTCTCGTGCTGATTCCTCAAGCCGCGCTTGTAGCCGGTGAAGACAGCCTTAGCAAACAGACGACCATGACGTTTGTATTTCTTGGCCGAGACTTTTGTCTCGGTGGCGACAGCCTTCTCTGCCTTTGGGACCTTAGCGGCCTTTGGCGCTTTAGCGGCTTTGGGTGCCTTTGCGGCCTTAGACGCAGCGGGCTTAGCTTGTGTGTCAGCCATAGTTCACTGGAAAGTTAACGAAAAAGAAATCCAAATTACTACCTTGCATAAAAATCAGATACAATTCACGATTGACGTTTGTTTTGATTGTCACTTGTGTGGCCCTAGGTTTCTAGCCATAGACATCAGAACAGTTGCACTTTGTAAAAGCAAAAAAACATCTTGGTGACACAATACACATATTGGTCTACACATAGTCACAATAATTTTTAGATTTTATCGTAATATTATTGTATATTTTGATATTTTATAACGCATAGCATAAAATCCGCGTACGTACCGGAAATCTATCAAATGGCGAAAGAGGGAGACGATGACAGGTCTGTCAAACAGAGGTGTATTTCAGGAGTTTTCAATCATATTTATCGATATTACACAGTGTTGCTCAGAAACAAAATAAAATATATATCGACTGGCTTGGAAAAGAAGTCAAAATAAAAAATAAAAACAAAACTAAATATTACAATAACAATGTTTCTCGATCGACAAAATTAAGAAAATTACAAAATTACTAGCACATGTACCTACTTCATACTTTTATGTACTGAAACTACGTTGTAACATCAGAAGTGGTCCCGCTATTGAGTTGCATAAAAGGTGGTCTAAGATACGTTCAGGGCAATAACGGGCTGCTGCTGCTGCACTTTACAAAATATTGCAATTGACAACAAATGGGTTTTCTGCTTCACTTCTTCAAATTGGACAAGCGCTGGCAACTACTGCCTAAAAGTGATATTTTCTTCAAGCGTAGCATAAAAAAGCAGGCAGTTAGTCCAACCAAGTAAGAGGCTTTTAATTTTTTAAATATATATTTATTGCGAGGGGTTAGGGGTTCCTGTGGTGGGCAGACTGTACGACGCTAGCTAACAAAAACAAACGTTGCATAATTTGATTATTATATATACAATTCTAGACTCGCAGAAGTTGGGCGCTTGTTGGAGGCAAAAGAAGGCAGGTACGATACTGGTCAACTGTTCTTGCATCGCATATTTGGTTATCGCGGAGTGATTCTTTTCCCATGGACGGCTCGCGTGTACGATCGTGATTTGCACAATACTAGAAAGCAGACACCAACAGCCACGCCGACGCCATGTCCCACAGAGGCTTCACCATTTAATTTTAATACAGGTAATAGCGACAACAGTGGAACGCCAGCAGCCGCACATAGTAACGATGCTCCCACTGCATGGCATGCAAATAAGAACGCTACAGATACGCAGGGTACCACAGCTATGGGCACCGCAAAACCAGCTACTAACACCAGCGCGAGTAACTCTGTCGATGCCAAAGAAGTTAAAGGTAAAACGCAAACGTTTTATCAGGTGCTCATCGATACCAGGGACTGTCCATACATTGTGAGCTATTTGTATTCTTACCAATTCAATAACTAATATTGAATCTTTCTTTTAGCGCGCGCAAACCGAGGCTGTCACCTTCCTGGGTAATCAGGACTCGAATCGCAGCTTGTACGCTATTCCTGGACTAGATTACGTTGCACACGATGACATCATGCCATATTGCTCAACCGATAAGCACCCTTTGCAACACGAGCTCTTTGATAAATTTTTATCATATGCTGCGGATGCTGAACCACCGTTTGTTGGTCAAGATACGCTTAAGGCGTGGCAGGAAAAGAATCACCCATGGTTAGATATGAGCGATGTACACAAGGAAACAACTGAAAATGTTCGCATTACAGTAATACCTTTTTATATGGGCTGTCGCGAAACACCTGCATCTTCGGTTTATTGGGTGTGTATTATGTTATTGCATATTTTCACTCACAATTAAAATTCTACTATTTCAGTGGCGATATTGTATACGGTTGGAGAATCTTGGCGAGCTTAGTGTGCAGCTACGTGAACGGCATTGGCGCATCTTTTCACTCTCTGGTACTCTGGAAACGGTGCGGGGACGCGGTGTTGTTGGCCAGGAGCCTATACTGAGTCCTCGATTACCGGCGTTTCAATACAGTAGCCACGTAAGTTTGCAGGCGCCTAGCGGTCATATGTGGGGAACGTTCCGTCTAGAACGCGAAGATGGCTATGCGTTTGACTGTAAGATACCACCCTTTTCTCTTGAGTCTAAACCAGATGATGTAAGTACGCCTCCAGTTGGGGGTGCAGCCGCTAACGACGAAGTGGATTAATAAATGTTACTAGATAATGGTTATTATAACAACTCAATATTATTTGACTATTCAGGAAGTACATGTGTTTAGGGCAAATAAAAAAGTTTATTAGCAATTCCTAATCTAACCCAGCCTCACATTTTTGGTCTCCAGTTGTATTTGAAAGTCGAATGGACGTCGATTTTCATGCATTTCAAATAGAGTTTGCAGTGCATCTATAGCGGCCGTCTTAGTTGCCGTCTGCACGTTCTCACCAAATCCCTTGCCCAGCAACTGACGATTGGCGTAAATACCAACATGAAAAGTCGCCAGAATAGTATTCTTCCCGCAGTCACCCAACAAACGGGGCTCTATGTCACCTAAGTTCCGTTGGTTGCAGACTTCGCTTAGGAGTTCCAATGGTTGCTGAGGTGTCCATATATCTAACAAATCCTTTTGATTTAATTGGGTGCAAATAAAATCACGCACAAACAGAAACGCACGTTCTACGCCACTTGAATCCGCCAAGGCCCCAATGATAGCTTGCAGTGTTTGGGCAAGCGTATCGCTGCTAGGTGGATATTCTGTGGAGAAGATAAGTTCTTTGGTGCCCAAATGCGACGATACGTTCGATAATGTTTCAGTGCTCAATAGGTACGAGGCAATCGCTTTTTGTCCAACAGCCGGCACTTTGGGTAATGAATGCTTCACATATGCCTCTACGTAAGCCTTCGCTATATGTGCGCCTTTAGCTATTAGTTGATCGTTGTCGCCTGTTTGAAGGTCAGCCTCTGCAATTCCCAGTTTGCGCTGGCGCTCCTGTTCCTGGTGCGCATATGCGCGCTGTGTGAATGCTGTCTGGAGGAGCGGTAACTGAAATTCTTCGTTTAATCGCTTGCCAAATGCAAATAGCTCTGAACGATAGTTCCACTCAACAAATCCGGAGCGCGGCTCCGGTTTCTGTGGTCCTTGCTTTTTAACGCGATGGGCAAGCTCACGTAACGTTGGTGAGACCCAACGTTTAAAGTGTCGCCGTGTTTGAACTGTTCAAAATGGAAGTTAATGTATGAACTGAATTAATCATTCAAGACATACCTGTACCGGTAGTGTTAATGGGCTTGGCAAGCGCCATTACACAGGCAATACTGCGTAAGAAAGACATCGTTTTCTTTTAAAATTAATAATATTCCCTCTTGGTACATATGGGTAACAGTATTGCCACCACAAAGTATTTTTCGTGAAAAATAATCGATAATATTTTTATCGTTTAATTAAGATGAACACATTTTCTTTATTTAGACCTATAAATTTTAAATAATTAAAATATTTGTCAAGAAAATTAGTATTGTTCATTTAAAAAAATATAGATTCATATCGATAGGCAATAACAAAGCAATTCATTAATGTGCTTACAACCCTGTGAATTACTGTGAGCTGGTCACCTTAACGACGCCATGTCGCTGTTTGCATGAAAATTTTATATATTCGAGAGTTGTGAAAATAAATTATTTGATAAAAATATCGGTAATTCGCATAAAACTGAGTGTGGAGCACAATTATATTATAAGCTTAAAAGATGGCGCTGCAGACGTATGGTGATAAGCCTGTGGCATTCCAACTAGAAGAGGGCGGCGAGTACTATTATGTGGGTTCGGAGGTGGGCAACTATATGCGGCACTTCCGTGGTATCCTTTATAAAAAGTATCCAGGAATGACACGCATTGTTCTCTCTAATGAGGAAAGGAAGCGCCTCGCTGATTCTGGCCTCAGCTCCCACATATTGGCTAGTTCGGTGTCTCTCCTACGAGCTGTAGAAGTTGATGATATTATGGCCGGCAATGATGAGAAGTGTGTTAAACTTGCCTAATATGAATCTTGCTATCATAGTAACTAAATATTTGTGCATTTTTAGATATCGTGCAGTTTCTGTTAATACCTCGGATACTCCAGTACCACGGGAGAGCAAATCTAAGAAGCAGCCACAATATGTTCCAACTATGCCAAACTCAAGCCACCTTGACGCAGTGCCACAGGCAACACCAATAAATCGCAATCGTGTGCACACTAAAAAAGTTCGTACATTTCCTATGTGCTTTGACGACACAGATCCAACAGCGAGTCTGGAAAATGCAGCACAGAAAGAGTGTTTGGTGCCCATAAGGTTGGATATGGAATTGGAAGGGCAAAAGCTACGCGATACTTTTACATGGAACAAAAACGAGAGCATGATTACACCTGAACAATTCGCTGAAGTGCTGTGCGATGATCTCGATTTGAATCCCCTGCCATTTGTTCCAGCCATTGCACAGGCCATACGGCAGCAAATCGAAGCGTTCCCCAACGATCCGCCCATACTGGAAGAAAGTTGCGACCAACGCGTTATAGTTAAGCTAAATATTCACGTGGGAAACACATCACTTGTTGACCAGGTCGAATGGGATATGTCAGAAAAGAACAACAATCCTGAAGAATTTGCCATCAAGCTGTGCGCAGAATTAGGCCTGGGTGGTGAATTCGTAACGGCGATTGCATATAGTATACGGGGTCAATTGTCCTGGCATTGTCGCACATATGCGTTTAGTGAGGCTCCATTATCCACCATTGATGTACCCTTTCGGAATCCCAGCGATGCGGACGCATGGGCACCATTCCTAGAGACGCTAACCGATGCCGAAATGGAAAAGAAAATACGTGACCAAGATCGAAATACGCGACGCATGCGACGTTTGGCCAATACAACAACGGGTTGGTAATCGAAGCGGATCGTTTCCGTAACCCACTCCTTTATCACTTAACACGGCGATTTGAGCTAGGTTTGTCGCCCACCAAGTTTTCATAACTTGTAATCGATTTTCAAGCGCATGAATACATGTATGTGGCAAAACCAATTATTACTGAATCGTTAATTTTCCAGCTCTAATAATAGTGATTATAAATAACTCAAATATAATCCGCGCTGGATACTGATACTTACAATTGATGTCGTCAGCATTTAATGTATTCAGTTAATTATCTTATAATTAATTTATAATCACTATTAGGGATTCGTGTAAATTGTTGTATCGTAAAAATTGATTTCATCGAGGTCCAGTTGTGGTCGGCATTATATATATATATATAAATAATAAATACATCTCTGTCTATTTTAAAGCCAATGATGGCAATCTGTTCATTAATTTTGTTTCGCTTAGATTATGTTAGACTATTGTGTATAAGTATTAACTTTCCACTGAATCGGGTTTGTCGTGATCATGTTCGCCATCGTAAAACTCGTTCTTTGCATCGACCATTTTATCTTCGTCCGCCTGTGACATGCGCACATCTGGATCTGTTTCCTCTCTCATACGCAGCTCCTCGAGGTCAACGTCTCGCGGTGTTTGAACCATTTGCACGCTTGGCGAGTGCTGGCACATTTTTAGATTTTCGTACACATGTTTTACGATCAGTTCCATATATTGTTTGGAGTTAGCATTGTCCTGTCGCGAATTGACTTCCGGATGTAATGTGAAGTCAGGTGCAAAGAAATCATAGTACTCAGTTGGAGGCAAATCATTTGAGATTTCCTGATCCAATAGAAGCGACGTTTCGTGTGTCCAACAGCGTGCAACGTTTCGCAAAGTGTAACCACCGCCACCCACAACCAATGTGGGCACATTTAGCGTCCTTACAAACTTAACACATTCTCCATGGCCGCGAGTACTTAGCGAGAAACAGCCAAGACGATCGCCAGCCAATGAATCGGCGCCACATTGTAGCACAATTGCTGTAGGTCGATAGAAGTCCATAATCGCTGAAATGATTGGCTTGAACACTTGAAAATAGCTATGATCATCGATACCCTCTTTGAGAGGCACATTAACGCTGTAGTAGCGACCAGACTCGGCGCCAATCTCATACATATCACCAGTGCCCGGAAAGAAGTAATTGCCATATTTGTGAAAGGATGCTGTCATTACGCGATCCGTTAAATAGAATGCTTCCTGTACTCCATCGCCATGATGCACATCAATATCGATGTAGAGAACTCGCGGATTATACTTCAGCAGCTCTAGAATGCCAATTACAATATCGTTGACGTAGCAAAATCCGGATGCCTCAAATTTCTTGGCATGATGCAGTCCACCCGACCAATTGATGCATATGTCACTGTGGTTGTGGTTTAGTTTCTGTGCGCCCTCAAGGGAAGCGCCCGTGTACATTGCGCAAAAGTCGAAGAGTCCATCGAAGACGGGACAGTCCTCCCCCACGCTAAAGTGTGCCAAATACTTAGTATAGGCGACGGCTGCAAGTAGAATAACAATAATAATATAGGCTAATAATATTCTTAAGCTTGTCACTTACAATTGCATTGAATATTTTGTGGAGTCACTTGCTGCAGGTATGCGATGTATTCGTCACTATGAAACCGCAGCATATCCTGTGCACTAGCTCTGTAATGTGTTAACAATGAAACATTTCACAATAATAAACCATAATAACAATTACATACTTGTATGGTCTATAAATTTTCATCTTTTTGTGCAATCCATAATTCATGACCAGGCTGTGAGTGACGGCCAGGCGTTGTGGCTTCATTGGATGCCCCGCTCCATAATGGAAATTGCCCACATCGGCATTGTAAAAATATGAAACTCGTCTATCAGTCATCCTTATATCAGCTACCAGCTAATCTCTGTCCAATGCGACTCCCAATATGGGTAGTATATTGTTCTTTGCATATAGTACAATCAGCAGTACAGCCACAATAAATAAAAGTCGCCGTGTTGTGGTTAGCTCGTTCAAGCCTAATAACATGCCGTATCTTCCGAAATCCTTATTATTTATTAAGTCTTAGTTTGTGCAAAATTGCATTATAAAATTGTTTAAAGCAGTTGCGGCGTAAAATTCCTATTTCACTTCATTGTTAACACAGTATTGTTATTAAAGCTTTTCTTATATTTATTTGAAAACAGTAATACTTTTGTTGTTCGTATACAGTAAGCATTCGGCACTATTTGTTTGCTAAATGTTAGTTATATGAAATTTTCCTTATTGATGATTCTTTTCGACGCGTGTTTTTTTTGTGTTACCTTTTGCTGTTCGTTCGCTTGTTAATTTAACATAGTTATAAAATGTTATTAACAGGACTATTAATGTCTACAGTTGATTTAACAGATTCAACCAGAAATAATACTATTTTGTGTTAGAAATATATCGATAATATTTGTGTTGTCTTATTTATCGGTAACAATTTAAGTCGAAGCTTGAGCATAAAATACCCTAATCTTGCATTTTTATTTGTAACATAATAAGACAATAAACATTTTTTAGCATTAATAAAAATAATATGATAGACAGCAAGCTGTATATACGGTTTAATTAAAACAATATCCAATTGGAAATAATTTGTTTATGTTCTGTTAAAATAAGCAGCTGATTTTAACGTTTTGCTGTGAATGGCGCATTTCCTTATCTGCCTTTTTGATAAGCATAAAAGCGTCCTCTGGAATTTGCGTGTGCAGTAATCAACAATAAATGTCATGGCATAGCAGAATGCAAAAACTATGTCAAACCGTTGCTAAGGAAGCGCGTAAAAGACATTGCGCTCCAGAAGTGATAAAAGCAAATCTAATTTGCTTACATTACGAAACCGCAAATTGATTTTATTAAAAGTGGCCCGTGTATTAGATTGCAAGTATCTGTGTCAATCAGTGAATGGTAATACATTAAAATTGAACCTTTGTGACCGTTGCCCCCATTTTGTCCAAGATGTTAACCCTCTATTACGTGAGCGCCACTTTGGTGCAGGCTTGGCGTATTCAAAGAGCTTGCAGCAAAATTGCTGAGCAGTTAGCGCAGTCGTCTAGCGTTGCGTTCTATGCACTTCAACCTGGCAACGATGACGGCTTTGGTAAGACGAATACAACTTTAATTTTGTGTAAATTTAATATATCCTCTCGCAAATCTAGATCCTACAATAGCCAGCTCGGAACTGTGCGGTAATCGAAATGTGGCTAAGGTAACGGATATACTGTGGTTGCATGGCAACCAGCACGGTTGCTGCCTGCGTCCATTGCAATCAGTGCAGATTACACCATGGATTAGCTTTCCTCCAGCCCCTAGCTGGCTTCCGTTCGTCTATGCCGCTGACTGTGCTACACCTACAGTAACTCCAACCGAAATCGAACCGCAACCCAGAATAAGTCTGTCCCCGGACAAGGCGCAGCATCTACAATTGCTGATCGAAGCGAATATTGACCTGCAGCAGCGAGAAATGAACACACAAAACTGTGTACCGGTTCAGGTGAGTCTAAGCACAGTTAGCTAAGCAGTTCTTCTAGGACTTACATTTTTTCGAACTCCGCTGTAGTTATTGGCTTTTGCCTACTAAGTAGGCAGCTTGCGTGTGTTTGGTCAATAAAAAACATTGCGTCATATTTGCACTATTTTCGCACAAAAAATTGATGTATGTATAATGTAGATGTGGCTTACCGATTCTCTTTTCATGCCAACCGTGATCCAATCTTCTAAATAAACGACAGTTGGAAAATTACGGTAAGCTAATTGCTTGGAAAATAGATTCCCACCTGGCGGTGCTCATCGAGACGGATATTGAGCACTTCACAAAACTATTGATAATGACATTTTTACAAAATAATTTATACATTAATGATCAGTTGCCACTAATGAGGATTGAGTGTAAGCGCACTAGCTGATTGAAATTTAAACATATTTAGAAACATTCTAATATTAATTACCTTCTACCTTTGCAGCTGTGCAGCGAGAGGGTGAACCACAGCCCTTTGAACTGCTGGCTAATCATCTGAAGCGTCAGTCACGCAAGGCTGCTGAAATCAGTGAGGAGGGGTGGCAAAAGCATTTGGAGGATCTGCGCGCGCTTAGTGTATTGGCCCACCAGGCTACCGAGTTCGAGCAGCAAAAGAATCGCAGCGAATTGAAGGCTAGCACTCCTAAGCAGGACCTGTTGCTCCAGCGACAGGCGGAGCAGTCGTCCGTGGCAGTACAGGGCAGCATTAAGGCAGTGGCCGTTGTGGAGCCCACCACCAAGACACCATCTCCTGCCAAGCCCACCCAGCTGAAGCAACCGACTCCAGTTGATCATCTTCTAAGCAAGAAAAGTGATTTTGAAAAAGGGACTGCCCCGACGAAGACTGAAAATCTATCAACCAAATCGCGGGAAATGGAAAAGTCGCCAGAAGTTCAGGAAAATACAGGTACAATAGTCGCAAAAGCGTCGACGCCTAGCAAAAGCTTTGTTGCCGTGAAACCAAGTTCGCCGCCGTCCGAAGCGTCAACCTCCGCCCGACCACGTCCCGTTTTGCGCCGTAATAAGAATAGTCTGGGCGAAAGTAAGCCGCTTAACGTACTAGTCTACTCGGACAGCGCCAGTGCACGTGATTCGGCAGTTGTTACACTACGTCAGATCCTGGAGCCAGATGTGTATACCATTTATGCGCTAACACCGCAGCAGGCGGGCGAGAAACATTGGCTGGAGCAGACGGCGCTGCTGGTGGTCTGTGGCTCTGTGGCGCCGTCTATTGGCCAGATATTGGTCGACTACTTTCTGCATGGTGGTAAGGTCTTGAGTCTCTGCTCGGATATCTTGCACTTTATATTACCTAACTATCGTACTGCGGAGGTAAGTGCATTCCTTTGACCAATAGAAAAATCAATATTTTAAGTTCATTGCTCTGTTTCAGGTGCGAGAGCACGAGTTGGTTCAGTTTTCCTACGACAAATGGCAACGGGTGAAGATGATGCATCACATTTTTTGCTACCAACCTTCTCCAGTTAAGAAAAACTTTTCCACCGACAGCGAGGAGTCATCGGTCCAATCTCATTCACGTAAATCGTAAGTTCACTTGTGTGTTCTGAATCGCATACACTGAAAACAATTTCACACGTAAAATAATCATTCATAATCTAAATTGAAATTTCAATGCACTTCGATGGAAGTGTAACGATTTAAGGCACACCTCAAAGGCTTAAAGGCCTTTAGGCTTCGATTCATACACATTCGAGTTTATCACAGACACATGCCGATTTAAGTATATGTATATAGACTGCTTGTTTTATTAAAATGCATGATTATATATTTTGCCAGTCAAATCAAATTGCTGCATACTTGCAGGCGCCCGTAATATGAATATGAATATGAATATGAATTGAAGGCGTAATCGCCACTAGAATCTATTTATTGAAATAGAACAAATGTTATTGGAACCAATTGTTGTGCTTACGAATAGCTGTATTAACATAATTAACAGGAATCTTTACTAATTCCAATCTGTTTTGTGTTTCTCAAACCTTTCATGCTGAAATTGGTGCTATTTTTGTATATTTCCTATAACCGAATCGTTGATTTGAAATATCATGTTCATATGTGTTTGCACACATGTCTTTTTTCTACCTTTTTTTAAATTTTAATTGGTGTATTGTGCTCTCCTACTATTACCTATTACCTATTATTAACTTTTTCTTTAATTTTCATTTTCAAAATATGCCCAAAATAATATTTGTTTTGTCATACAATTTTGATTATCTTGTGTGCTATCATTCTCTTCCTTGCGTGTGATCTTTTTCTCTCTCTCTTTTCTACTCTGTGCTCGTGTGTGTGTGTGTATGTGCTATATGTGTGCTCATTGCTATTATCCTAATTACCATTAACCAAAAAAATGAAACGATAATATTTGCAACAACAAAAACAACATATAACAAAATATAAACCAAAAAAAAACAAATCAAAATACGAAACGAACGCCGCTTAGAGCTCTAGTATGTCCAAGGTCCATGGATTTGAAGGACTTGACCGGTCAGACACACCAGCTGGATGTTAAAGTGTTGGGCACTGAGGAGACCTGGAATACGCCCAGTCTGCTGCTGGCCAACAGCGTGCAAAGCGGCGGCAAAGCCGTCTTTTCTCAGGTATGGCTTTAAGTACCTATCCCTCGAAAGCTATCATTCATAACAATCAATTTCTTTGGTAGGTTCACCTGGAGACGAGTCCCAACGAGTTTGAGTTTGATGAAGTCAAGTTTGCAATCTTGAAGCAAAGCGAACGCACACGCATCGAGATCTTTACGGATCTTTTGCGCAAGTACTTGGAAGTGCAGGTGCGAGGCACCGACTCGCAAGATCTAGTACCTGCCGTGGTCTTTAAGCAGGCCTATTTCTTGGGCCGCCATGAGGTGAGCTGTGGTTTATATATTTTAATACAGTTTTGTGCAGCTAACCATTTCGTTGTTTGCAGTCCAAGTTTGAGCTCCTCGAGAAGTTACGTCCACGTTGCAGCGGCCATGACAATGTCATCGTTATGCCCAAGTTAACTATTAAGTTCTGTGGCAAAGACGACAAGGCGCCGGCCGCAAACTCAAATGTGTTGCCCATTCTTATACATTCCTGTCCAGATGATTTCTCCACTGTTGATTACTTTGATGTGGGTGTTGACTTGAACAAAAAATATGTTTACTAGTATTCAGTTGTTTAATGTACAATTCACACATTGTAGAATTTGAAAACGGAGCATATTGGACGCTTGGTCATCTATGCGCCAGTCTTGAGCAGCTCAATGCATGTGGTCAACGATCTAGAGCTAATGCACGGCATCGCAGTGCTGCCAGTTCAACAGACAGATGGCATCGGTCGCAGCGGTAATCAGGTAATCTATCTACAATAATTACGCAATTACGAGCATTTGAATTGACTTATAATATATTCTTTTTACTTAATTAGTGGCTGAGTCCTTTGGGCTGCGCAATGTTCTCTACGCAGCTGCACATCGACATGGACTCGCCGTTGGGCACACGCCTGCCCTTGTTACAGCATGTGATCGGCGCTGCTGTTGTCAATACTCTTCGCGGTCATAAACAATACAGGGTAAGTGATTATATAATATTGAAAATTTAACTCTGAAAGCTCTGAAAGAAATTGACGTCTTATGAGGATGATGATGATGATGATGATGATTGATATATGAATGATATCACAAAAGACGATAGAGTTAGCAATGAATTTTACTTTATTGAATATTTTTATGGCAATTTCATTATTTATTGCTTCAATGAGGTCTTTAATGCAATGCGCAATGCTTGTGGTACATATACGATTAGTGGACCACTTCAATACACTGAATCCACTGATTATATATGTCTGTATATTAATCTTGAACTATGAAGGTTTGACAACAATAATTTTCGCATTTTTGAGGTATATTATTTCAAAGCCATCGCAAAAGGCGATTATTTCAGAACTGGATATAATTAATTTGAACATTCTTTTAAGCATTTCATTAGTTATTGCTTCATTAAGATTTTTAATGCAATGTTTGAGGTTCGTAAACTATTAATAATATATACATAATTAGAATGCGTTTTAATACTCCTTTTATACCCTGAAACCCAAAAAATGAGTGAAAAGTTGTGGTTCTGTGCAACTAATAGTAGCATTGAGCTCGGATTCCATAAAGCCCAGATATTAAATATCAGATCATATAGATATAGCTCAAAAATAAATAAAAATCCATTTGTCGGTGGTTCAAAACACAGTTCGAAGAAACTTCTTGGCTTAAGAGTCGATATGTGCATCTAGTTTTTTACATTGTCAAGCTCAGATAAAATCTATGAATTGTCTTAGAATATTTTACTATAGTATCAGCAAGGCGTATAAATTTGTTCATTCGTTTACTGGATGCATCCGATGTGATGCACTTACAATATTTGAATGGACCCTCTCAGCTTATAAAGACTTGTTGTGTAAATGGTTAATTGAACAATTTTAATTTGTAACTGTTTTGCAGACTTACTTAGATTGTTGAGTAATGTGAATTAGCATAGAAAATAATTGAATTCACAATTTTTCGACTCTGGGCTCAGGGTAACAGCTTAGCTGAGTCGGCAACTTCCGACTAGAGCACTCTTGATTATTTTGTACATTTTATAAGTGTTTTGTTTCATTCGGTTTTAATCGAAATTGGTCCAAAAACAATAAAAGTTTTTCACCATGTGTTTTTTTTGTTCTTTCTAATTTCAATTAAAACTGAAATTTATTTTTTAAACTTTATGAAACTTACAAAGTTTAAAATCAAGTGGAAATCTATGCATGTAATTTTTGATATTGCATTATCTTTAGATAATTGATTTGTTTGAATAAATTTAATTTTTGTATTTATAGTTTATTTTGACATTTTTTTTCGTATATTTTGCATTCAATTTGTTTGCTATATACATTTTACAATACACAGTTTAATATATTTGTTATTATATAATTATATATATGTATATATTCATATATATAGAACTTTGCTTATACATAATTAACAATTTAAAAATTGCTCACCTGATTTATGTTTACATTTCGATTTGCCACAGTGCTTGCTTTTCATTAATATAGGTAAATTGTAATTTCTATATGCCTATTTAACGCATTCGGATTTGCTTGTTGCTCTTTAACGTTTAAACATTGTCTTTTAATTAAACATTTGTTTGCAATTCGTAATTGTAATTAAATTTAAAAATATTTTACAATGTATATGTAAATTGCTATAATTTGAATGTACATATACATATATGTACAAATACATATACATATATGTACAAGGTTTGTTTCTGTTTTCTTTTGTTTTGCTTTGATTTGCTTTAAATGTATATTTACAATTAACGTTTTTATAACACATGCACTTTGAACTTTTCTTTGCGAGTCTTTGAGAGGCTGAGGAAGTGAGCTTTGCTCTCTGCATTCTCTCTTCCCCTTTTATCGGAGAGCAGGTTTCACATTTGACATTTCGCACGCACAACAATTACAGTTAGAGTTACAAACATCTGTGTGTTCATGTGTGGGTTTGGGTATGGGTATGGGTAAGGGCAAGGGGATGGGTGTGGGTGTGGGTGTGGGTATGTGTGTTTAAAAACATTTATATATAACGTGAAATTGTGCTAATTAGAAACAGTGTGTGCGCGTGTGCGTGTGCCTGCTTACATATGTAACATATATGCGTGTGTATAGAAATGTATAAATGTATATAGTAGGCTGGTTAGAACACAGATTCTGCTGAACGAGACAAGTTGACAGGGTGCGAGGGACTACGCGCCAAACGCTTCTTTGGCAAATGCTCCAGCAGAGAGAGCAGGCGCGCAAAGTCTGGCCTATGCTCCTTCTCGTAGGTCCAGCACAGCATCAATAGATCCTTGACATCACGACCCGACTGCAGGTTGGCCAGCGATTGCTTCATACCTCGCCCCACTTGCCAAATGATTGATTCCGCCGGTTGGTCCTTGAACGTGAACTCGCCGCAAATAAGCTCGTACCAAACGGTGCCGAAAGAGTACACATCTGAGTAGGATGTGAATTCTAAACACTCACCGGGCGGCTTTCTCGGCAGCAAAGCTCGTATCAGTTCCGGGGCCAAGTAGCAAAGCCAATTTTGCGGAACTCCCAGCCCCATATCACAGTACAGCAGCTTTGTGGAGCTGAAGAGGCCAAAGTCCGTGATGATAACCTTACCATTCTCGATAAAGATGTTCTTGGTGCGCAGATCCTTGTGTATTATGTCCCTCGCATGTAAATAGCCCATTCCCTGCGCAATCTGTTGGGCAATCAGCAGCGTTCGATTCATTGCAAACTTTTCCCTTCGCTGATGTATGTAGGTGTACAGAGTATTGCCCTTGCATAGCGATGTGACAATGGCCAAGTATGGCGGATTCATGCAGGCGCCCATGAACAGTACTAGGTTCTCGTGGCGAGTCTTCTTGAAGTTAGCTACCTCATTGCGAAATGATTCCAGCATGTGTTCGTCCTGCAGATAGTCTTCGTTGAGTAGCTTCACAGCGACATCGCCATGCCACAAGGCTCGATGCACAGTGCCAAAGCGTCCTTGTCCAATGCGCTCCATCAAGTGCAAATCACCATAGGGTATGTCCCATTCCTTCAACGATATGGAGTTCTGACGCCACTGTCCAGAGTCCCCATCCTCTGTTGAGTCCAAACGTACAGGCGTGCGATCCGAATCGGTGCTAGCGCTACCCGACAGCGACACCGTCTTGTCACTATCATTCGACTTGTGTGTGTCCGTGTATTCACTAGTGAAGGGCGTGCGCTTGTCCACGCCCGCATTGCTCAGTTTGCGGGGAAAGAAGCTGCCGCTGTTCACCAGGCTGGCCGTGTAGGTGGCAGTGCTGCCGCTGCTCAAATTCGACATTTGCGACGCAGCCGAATTGGTTGACGCTTGACTGCCGGTCAGGGAATGGATCAGACCATTGGAACTGCTGCTGCTGTTGTTGTTAGTGCTGCTGCTGTTGCTGCTGTTGTTGGAGCTGCTGTTGTTGTTGCCGTTGGTCATGGGCTCACCTGTGGTCATGTGGGATTGCGACTCATTGGATATCAGAGTTTGGGCCGCACTTGCGTTGCTGTTGCAGGCATTGATGCTGGTAATAGTCACGTTAGGGAAATTGAATTGACTCTGCTGACCCTGTTGTGCTCCCGCTGTTCCCACCGCAGCTGCCAGTTTCGGCTGGCAGGCACTGGGCGTGCCTAGTTGCGGGTGATGTTGTTGTTGCTGCTGGAACAGTGCTGGACTGCTGGGCGTTGAGCTGGTGCAGCTTGAGCTTGGTGAGCTGCTGTCCCCATGCTGCAGTTGTGGCTGCTGCAATTGCGGCTTGCCTAGCGTGTTCTTCCTTGGCACTGGTGACGCTTTACTGCTGCTGTGCTGGGAGGGGTCCCATCTGCCGCCCACTTGAGTTTGACGAAATTCGTGAATATATTCAGGTGGAAGACCACATGAGGGCGGCACATGCGGAGCGCAGGACTTGTGGCAAATATATTTGCAGTCGGTACACTTGAGCCAGTGGCTCAACATCTGCTTTTGGCACAGTTTACAGGTGGCCACGAAGCCGAACCATTTGCTGAAGCGATGCTTAATGGTATGACCCATGCCCACATGCGCCACACCTGGAGATGGCGGCACTAGTAGCACATTGGAGCTGGTGGTGCTGCTAGTCTCTACAAAAATGTCTGAACTGCTTGCCGAGCTATGGCTATCGGGGCTCGGGTCCGTGGGCAGGCGGCTACGCGGCGGCCTTGGTGGTTGCTCCGTTACTCCTATATCCGAAGCGCTGCTGTTATGCATAAGTAGTGTTTGATGCTTCTTTGCGGGCGGTGGCGTGCCAGCAGCTGTTGTGGTACTACGGCTGCGCAACGGAGTGCCGCTGGCCGATACCGTGCCGGAGGCGGGTGTGAAGGGCGAGTTGGGTGGCGAGGGAGTTAATGTTAAAGTCATTTGTGAGCCAGTCAGTGGTTGCTGTTCGCTACGAGAATTATACGCGGAGTTGCTACCCACTTTCGGCTTACTATTCCCGTGCTGATGCTGATGCTGATGTTGTCGATGATGTGCGCGTGGCGAGGCGCTGCTCAGTCCGAGGCCAATATTGCCAATGCTGCCGCGTTGCATGTGATGAGGGTGGGGTCGATCCCATGAGTCCCAATGCCATTGTTCCGGATCAGCATTAGGCGCAACTGCACCGCTGCTTTCTAGCGTTTCCATACACTTCCGAAGATTATGCATCGCTTTGGTGAGACGACGCACTTCCTCGTCCAACTGGCTACTAGGATTGTGGGCAAGCATTTGTTTCAGTTCTTCGTCGCTCAGCTGCAACGTTTGCTCCAGTGTAGTATGCCGGGTTAGACATGCATTCAAAGACTCCGGACTTAGACCAACAACGCGCAACCATTGGCGCAGCTCGTTCCCAGTGGCCTGATGATGCGGCAGCAGCCCGTTGGCAGGTATACGCTCGTTTAACCTTGTCTTGGTTAGAAGCAGCTCGGAGAAATAACGTACTAGCTTGGATTCTAGGCAGCGTATCTCCTGTTGCGTCAGCGTTGCACTCGTTGCACATTGCGTCCGCAAACCTTCCAGATGGTTAGCCGAGAGATCAATCATATCCTGTATGATGATTAGATTGCTTTCGCTCGCATTCGTCGTTGTATTGTTGTTACTGCTGCTGCTGCCGCTTTTGTTACTGCTGACTGGCGGCGCAGTCAGCTGGGCGGCGGCGCTGCTGCTCATTTTGTTGTGAACCGCCCGCCCCTTGCAGCAGCACAAACTGATTGATTTTTTCAGACGCACTCACAAACCATTTGTTGTTTGCACCACTTTGATGCACATTCCCTCACTTTAATTGGCTTGTTTCTTTTACAGAAATCACACACGAGCAGTCCCGCGAAATGTAAACCTTAAGAAAGACTCTGAAATGCGGAAAACGCGACAAGTTTAGTAGTTTTTAGAAGGTAGACAGAACGGGTGCCGTGTTGTCGCCTGCACGCACGAAATTTCTCTACACCCAAGTAGTAGAGCTGCGTAACTATCGACGATGGTATCGCCGTTATTATTGTGCACTAAGATATATCGATTCATTTTTATCACAATATATCGCTTAACCTCCACTAAAAAGTGGGTTTTATCTTCAAGGCATTTTTAATGCTTATTAAAAATTTTATTTGATTTTAATTTACAAACTAGTTATATACTTTATTATAAAACAACGCTAATGATAATTGATACTTAAGTATGTGACAATTTACATATATATGAATATCGATATTGCTCTGCTTATCAACTTTGTCATTTACATTATATTAAGAGTTAATTTAAAAACGGAAATAATATTTGTATATTTTTTGTCTAGGTACTCGATATAGCTTTAAAATGGCCAAATGATATTATTGCTAATGGAAACAGTAAAATTGGTGGACTTGTCGTAAAGACCACATTATTGGGCTCGCAGGCAATTGTGAATATTGGCTGCGGAATTAATTTAAATAATTCAAAACCGACGTTGTGTATTAACGACTTAATCAAGGAGTATAATATGCGAATTCCCAACGCCAAATTACCATTATTAAAATATGAGATATTCATTGCAATGATTTTTAATGAAATGGAAAGAATATTGGCTGAAGTGCAAAACGAGAATTTTGAAAGTTTCTACGCCTTGTATTATGATCTTTGGCTGCATAGGTAAATTGAATTGCCTTTTAATATCAACAACTTTTAATTATATTCTCTATCTACTTATAGTGATCAAAGCGTGACTATTTGCCTGCAAAATGATCAACAAAAGGACGCAAAAATTATTGGCATTGATGACATCGGCTTCTTAAAAGTTAAATTGGCGAATAATACGATTGAGACTGTTCAACCCGATGGTAACAGTTTTGATATGTTGAAAGGATTGATAGTACCTAAATACTATTAGACAATTTACCAAGGGAATTCATATATAATACAAGTTATTTATTCCTAACAATTTTTGTGTGAAGTATATATTTATATATATATATATATATATATATATATATATATATATATATATTAATAACTGTTTGAAATTTTAGGAGCATTTAGAGACTTATTAATTATAACTAATTATATATTTACAATTCTCTTCACTTAAAGTGAACATTTAGTCAAAACTTATAATTATATAGCTTAAATTAACACACTGCCAGTGCTAAGTGTTTTCATAAATATTTCGAAATATCATAATTCAGAAATCTCAAGTAATTTGCCATTATTCCAAAATATATGTGTCTTAAATCTTGAAATTGTTCATAACCTTTGCCCGTTAAAATGAGAAAAATTACTAATTCCCTACAAGATTATATGTGTTAACCATTTATTGAATTTAATAAAATTATACAAATCCAAGCAGTCTATAATATATGAAAATAAAAATGTACTGCTAAAAATGTAGTATTTTTTTCTTTTATTGTCAATTTCGTAATTTCGGTATTTTTATATCATTGGTCACATTGTCTACAACAGGGTGACCATTAGTTGTACTTTATATATGCATAGTTTTTACTTGCAGTGAATAAAAGTACCAAGAGGTTTTATATAAGCGCCCCGGATAAAAGGAAATTAAAACATTTAAGTATGGCGCAACGTAATCATCGTGTAGATCGTTTTGCGCAAATGAGCAAACAGGAGGAAATAATTGCCAAAAAACGCCAGGAAATACTTGAGAAACAGCGTACGGCGCAGCTGGCGAAGGCCGTAGCTGCTGCTCAAACTTTGGCTGCACAGTTAAAAACCATTGAGTCGGCAACGCCGACGCCGGTAGAGGAATCGGAAGATCTGGAGCAAGAGGAAGAGCATGAGCCACCGCCGCAGCTGTTATCCGCAACAACAGCGCTATCTGATGATGGAAACGCGTTGGAAATGGATAACGGAGATCAGGCGGGGCCAGTTGCTAGGGCTAAGTGCGATGATGGTACGGCCAAAACGCTAAATAGTTTTACTGGAAAAACGGGAAAAATTACGTTTAGTCTTAAGCGTCAACAGCTGCCACAACCCAGCGTTGAGCAGCCGCCACCTAAAGTGAAAAATACATTTTGTAATGATGGTTCCTTTTTGGAGAACTTTAAGAAAATCCTTGAGAAGCATGATCAACCCAAGCAGCCTGTTATGGTCGCTCCTATTACAATGCCGAGGTAACGAGTTGTGCTTTTCAATTGTAGAGATTTTTTTTTAACATTATGCTCTCATTTAACAGTGAGGATAATAATATGGGTGACACTCACAACACCGAGAATAATAGTTCGCAACAGTCAGTAGACCTGGCGCCTAGTACAATTGCAACGAGTACAGCAGCTGTGATAGCTACTTCTATGGCTAATAGCATGACAGTAGCTGGCACAGGACACAATCATTTAGCATTTAGCATGCCAGGGACGGCCACAACGATGCCGCAGGCTGTGCAGCCACCACCACCACCGCCCTTTGCATTCAATCCTACGATTTTGGCCCAGGGACCGCCTCAAATGACGATGCCAGCTTTTTTCCATGGACACCATCATTTGCCTATGCAGTTGCATCCAGCTACTGTGGCCCCACCGCCGCCGCCACCACCGCCACAGCTTCCGCTTGCGTTGGCTAATTTGACGCCAATCTATATGCAATTGGGACCAACACAGATGCCGTCCGAAGCAGCGATGCATCAATTGAATGCCATACCGGCTCCCAAAGACTTTGATTTGAATGCCATACCAAAGCCACAGATTAATCTCGAGGCGATACAGATGCCTAATGTCACCCAGGTGGATCAGCTTGGTTTACTGCCAGAGCACGTAACGGTTAACCCACCACCACCGCCTCCGCCGCCCATGCAGCCAAAGGAACAAGCATTGCAGCAGCCGCAACCAGAACAGCAGGAGCAACATGTGCACCAGCAACAACTACAACAACAGCAAATGCAGCAGCCATTATCGCCACCTTCCCAAGGTGTGTATCTTTAGTTTGATAACTGCCTTTGTCTGTTCTGTTTTTGCAAAAATCCCTGCATTAACCCATCCAGTAATCAATTCCTCTATTTACCAACTCCCATCCAAATTGAAATATCCCAAATACTCCCAACATCTGAATAATTTTCATTATATATATTTTTTGAATCGTTGTGCACGATTTTAAAGCAATTTATGTAGTTTTTTCAGAAACATGCATACAATTGCCAACGTGCATAGAAAACCTTATCGCACTGGTCGCCGAAAATGGTGAAGATTACGAAGATAAAATACGTTTGCATAGAAGCGAATTGCATCCGGCATTGTGGTAAATCAGCTGCACATTATCATGCGCAGGGCACTTTAACTAACAACAGAGAAAGTGGGCGAGACTCTTGAACTTAAGGCGATATAATTTAAGAGTTACAAGAGATGTATTTTCGGCTTACCGACAATGTAATATTCTTGCAGATATGTCGATTCTTTTCATTTATAATTCTAGTACTTGTCTGATTTTGTTAACTCATCTGCATATTATAGTGAACTGGTCCGATAGTTACAACACCGAGCTTGATTTTATTTATGGCTATAAATTAAATTAAAAATAAAGCAATAATTCCACCTGCAAGGCTATAGAACTTACTGTTAGAGATTAGTTTAAAGACACGCAACTGGACGATTTTACGACTAGACTTATGTATCCATATAACTGGCATAATAATTGAAAGCTCGTTGAATAGTTTCCAATTGGATAACAGCTTCATATAGTGACTTTTTAAATTGCAGATTAAGTTTAAAAGAGAAAATTTTTTAAAAGAATTATTTTGCCTACATAATTTAATTATATAGTGTAGTCCGACGACTGCTTTACTAATGTGGTATAGAACCACGGATTAGATTTGATTTGAGATTAGGGCGCACGCATCACCCACTTATCACACACAGGCCGTGTTGCCCGTCGCCATTCTACTGGAGGAGTAAGCTGAAGGATTCTATAAAATCACACTACTAAACGGGCGCCAAAAAAACCAGTTACTCATATAATGTCTTTGTATAACTAAACGCAATTGGGCATTATTCATTGTACGTTTTACTTCTTTTTTAAAATCTTAAAATAGGTTTCTTTATGATAAGAACTCCGAACAATATCGAAGCTATCGCGCACAACTGCTCGACTACGAACGCCAGCGCTGCGAGCGAGAGCGGGAGCGGGCAGAGCAGCAGCTAAGCAAGGCTCACCAGCAGCAGCTACAGCAACAAAAGCAAGATCAGCGACAGCAGGAGGAACACAACAGCAATTCGGCAGCAGATAAATATGATCCGGAATCTGCTATTAGTGCCGACTTTGATTCCGATGATGAGTATATGCGTGGCATGATGGATCGCAATCGCGACAATATCAAGCGTCGCATCGAGTGCCGCAACGAGCTGAGTGATGAGGAGCGAAGGGAGCGAGAAGAGAAAGCGGCAATGGCAACAGGAGGTGACCTGATTGATTTGGATCAGGACGATAGAGAGGCGCAGCGACAGCGCCGCAAGCGAGAGCGCAAAAGTCGCTGGGGCGAAAAGGAATTGTTGCCTACAGGCTCAGGTAAGTAAATTTTGATTTTATTATAAATAATAAAAGATTACTTTAAAACTTATCTATTTTAGGTATACCCACAAGCTTTGGGAACCAGAACAAGCCCATGCTCAGCACTGTCACGCGTAATGATCCGGCATTGCTGCAGTACGCTCGACTTAACTATGGCTCCGCTCAGTTGTCGGAGGACCAGTGGAAGCAATGCGAAGAGCACTACAAAGTCAACTTGTTATACCAGGATATGATGCGAAAACGACAGGAGATCGATCGGCTGGCACGAGGCGGTAAGTTCAAATATGAATACGACTCTGATGAGGATATCGAAGGCGGCACCTGGGAGCACAAGTTGCGCACAGCTGAAATGGAAGCCACTCATTTGTGGGCCAATGCACTTACCAAGCAAAGCGAGGGCAAACATCACATTGGTGATTTTCTGCCACCCGAGGAGCTAAAGAAGTTCATGGAACAGTACGAAGCAAAGAAAAATAATAGACAGCCTGACTTAAGTGATTACAAGGAGTACAAACTAAAAGAAGACAACATTGGCTTCCAAATGCTCCAAAAGCTTGGCTGGAAGGAGGGCCAAGGCTTAGGCCAAGATGGTGCCGGCATTGTAGATCCAGTTAACAAGTAAGTACAATATATATTTAAATTGCTTATCTTGTTATTGGCTAAAATGTTATTTGTAGAGCGCCACAGCGTGACGGCAACCAGGGTCTGGGCGTTGGCAATGTCGCACAGCCTGAAGATTGTGACAATGAGTATGATGCCTACCGCAAGCGTATGATGTTGGCATATCGTTTCCGGCCCAATCCATTGGTAAGTTTTTAATTGTATCAAGTGTATAATGATCAATTATATTGAATTTTACTCTTTCAGAATAATCCACGACGTGCCTATTACTAGCCACTCCGCATATAAGCAATAACTGATGCTTTATATTGATTAAGATTCACGTTCTCAGCCCATTTATATTCTATCACATACAAACATAGAGCGATTATAAAGTTAATATTTATATAAGTAGTATGTTACTGCTGACCACAATGAATATTTGCTGAAGTTCTTCTTCTGGATTAGATACCACAAATTGTAGTTGTGTTTATTATTAATTATTATATATATATTTATACAATATACATAAACAGTATAGTTCGTAATCAACTTATAAGCTATGGCTGCTATGACGTATGCTCTAGGGACTATCAAGTTGTTTAAGGTTCTTGGGGGGTTTTTGTAGCAGTTGCATCGTTTTATATATAAAGTATATATTCTGTGGTTGGCTACGCGGAACTTGAACGCCTAAACGCTAATAATACTAAATTGTACTCGAACTGGAAACGTTGACTTAACCTTAAGAGTAGAGCGTTAGCACTGGCGTCTGGTTGCCGCGCGCCAGTACCACTGGGCATTTGATATCTGACGTTAGCATTTCCAGCCACGACATGTAGAGTGGTGCTGAGATCGCCTCCTGCAATTGACGTGAGATATACATTGAGTATAAGATTGACTGAATCTATTTAGTCCAGCTACTCACCTTGCGCGGCATTGGCAGGGACATGACCACCAGTGAAGCGTTCGATGAGTGTTTCACGACTAGCTCATGGATGCGCAGTTGGCGTTGCGTCTTCTCAGCCATGCTGTGCAGCTCGTCGTCAGTGATGCCGAACTCGTTGCGGGGGCTGCGACGGAAAGGTTCGATGAGGCGTTTGTGCTTGAGCATCGTGTCATGACGAGGCTGATCCTGGACGCCCTTGAGCATAATAAGCTCTGAGTATTTGATACGGAATTTGGTTAGCAAACTGGCCATGCTGTGAATTAATAATAAAATTAGGTACATTTCAAGTATGTACGACGACTTGCGTGTCTCACCTCTTCTCCTCCTGCTCCTCGTCCTTGCCATGACACATGGTAAACACGCGCAACTTACAGTTCTGCCAATGCGAGCGCATTGAGATGATGTAGGGCAGCAAAATCGTTAGACCTGGCAATAAACAAACACATCCATCAAAATCTTAGTCACATAAAGAATTATATCGTTGCGTGTCGTCCGGACTTACCGCCGTCATCGTATAGCCAGAAGACATCAATGGTGCCCTTGGGCTGCTTTCGTGTAAATATGTTCATGGCGTCCAGTATAGTTTGTGGCACCTCGGAGCCACCTTTGGTGTGGTAGGTAATGGACGCGGCGGCGGCATCTGTATTGTTGATCTTGTAGCTGCGGGAACCGCGCTGCATATTGGGCGGTTCCTGTGGCATCGTGTACGAGGCGTTCGGACTGGCGCTATCCATGTTGGCCAGATTCAAGTTCGAATCAATATGCAGCAGTTCCGAGGCTGCGTTGGCGGCGGTCAACATTTCATTGGCAAAGCCTTGTGCATTGGCTGTATTCAAGTGGCCCAGGCCGTTGTCTGGTATTATTACCTTCGGAGTTAGCTCCGAGAAGTCCAAGCCATTGGGCAGGCGAAGCACTGCCACACCCATGCGCTGAGAGAAGGCATTGCTGCAAGCGAGAAAAGGATTCGAATGAGCAACTGCAATGTGAATGATCTCTTTGGTTGCTTACTGCAATATGGCAAAGTAGCTTTCCACCTCTTCCTTGCGGCAACGATTCCAGTCAGGCTTATAGCCCACCAGCACAATGTTGGGTGCCATTTTTCCAAAGCCTGTGGACTTGATCATGGCATTGATACCATCTTCGGTGCTGAAGCCGTCAATGACATTGTAAAACGCTTTGATTTTGCGCGCGTCCAAATATTTCTGTCCGTCCTTGAGCAGATTCAGGCGATTCTTGTATCCAATCCGTACCTGTACAAATATTGATTATATTGATTAGCTATCTAATTAGATATATATTTGAAAACAGTCATCTACCGGTATTATGTTGCCCACAAACATCAGCGAGTTGTTCTTGGTCAGCAGGAAGCCGAAGTCGACGAGTGGCGGACGTGACTTTGGATCTCCGGAAAGCACTAGCACTTGGGGATGATAGTTCTTGACGTGGTCCGAGACGTTCTGTAGCCGATGCACGGCCATTAAAGCAGCTTTGTATTGCTGTGCCTGTGTGGTGGAGCCCCAGTTGGCATCCGGTTTGCGATACATAACCACCAAGTACAGGGCAAAGATGATGCCAAAGGTGATAATGGCGGCCACATAATTGATAAGGAACATGATTACCACGCACATCGCAAATCCGAATAAGCTAATCCATGCGTTGTAGTACTTGAAAGTGGGACGCCAGCCCAGGGGCTTGACGAAGGCCGCGTGGAAAGTGCAGAAGTTGATGAGCGCGTAGGAAGCCAGATAGAAGGTTGAGATAAGCGGGGCGATCAGATTCAGCTCGCCAATCAGCAGGAAGCCAGTGGAGATGAAGAAGGTTAGCACATAGCCGCGATAGGGCTCTCCATGTTTGCCATAGGGCTTGGAGAAGTAAATCAATCCCGGGTAGATCTGATCTATGCCCAAAGCCTGCACCAGACGCGGCACCGACAGGAGATTTGTCAGGGCTGTGCTCAGCGTCGCCGCAAAGCAGCCAGCGTAGATGAGCGGTCCCCAGAGCGACATCTCCTGCATCATTTCATATGAGTTGAAGAGACCCCAGCTGCAGTTGCCAGTTTGCATGCAGGGAAGCTCCGATGGCACAATGGTGCCGTTCACCAAATCCTCGGGGAAGCCGGAGGCATCGCGAACTGCAGCACCGCCCGCGAACAGGACAAACAATGCATAGGACGTCATCGAAATGAGTAGGGACCAGAAGGTGCCTTTCGGTATGGCAGCGCCAGCATCCTTCAGATCGCCACAGATGTTGGCACCCGCCTGAATGCCAGTCACGCTAGGAAAGAAGATGGCAAAGACGCTGAAGAAGTCGTGGTTAACGCCCTCCGCGTAGCGATATTCAGAGCCAAAGTTCTCTTTGAATGTGGACCCTATTGAGGCACAGCGTTAGTAGTCCATCTCCAAATAGCTTAGTCAAGTTCAACTTACAGGAAAAGCCTACAAATCCTTTGGATATCTGTGTCTCATCGCCACGCGGTCCGATCGCAGCGCCAATCAGAAAATTAAATATGGCCAGGACAATGGTGACGATGAGGAAATTCTGTGCCTTGGTCTCCCATTCCATGCCCACACAACAGATCAAGATCAATACCAGAACCGTTATGGAGCCCACAATTCGAATGTCATTGATGCCATTGTCGACGATGATTAAGTCATTGTTCTCTGCAAGAGTCGAACTGTGTTTAGTTGGATTCCTTAGGGTCCTCATGGTGGGATACTTACTCAGCAGCACATTTAGCGATTCACAGAAACCAATTGTGTTCATCGAAGCTGAAACCGCGTTGGCGAACGCAAAAACAATTCCGACGGAGGCGCCAAATTCGGGGCCAAGCGAGCGAGATATGATGAAGTAGACGCCACCGCCCTTCACCTCACCGTTGGTACTAATGGCCGACAAGGAGAGCGTCGTAATAACGCAGACCACCGTCGAGATGGCGATTATTATTAACGACCACATAATGCCGGACTCAGCGACGACCCAACTGAGACGCAAGAAGAGCATAACGCCCCAAATGTTGAGTAGGCATGGTATGAGGACGCCGACAATCCATCCCAGCTTGATCTGACCACCAGTTGGTTCCGGTTCTGCGGCATCTGGTATGGTAATGCTCTATAGATGACGAAACAAAGACAAAAAATTAACACATGGTTGAGCAGTGCTAGACTAGACTAGTTGAACTGGGAATAAAATTAGCTTTTCAAATATGATCAGATGGAATGATCAGGAAAAGTACAAGATCTATAATCTATGAAAGATATAAGAAAATGATATATCAGCCGGTTGCTGGTTGCCAAGCACATGAATGATCTAAGATCCGTTTTAATATGTTCCCCATAGGCGTAGCTTTATAATCATCTCGATTAATTAAATTAAGAATCGAAATATCTTTGAGTGTTTTATTGAATTTGAAATGTATCTGTATCCTAGCATTACATATTAGAGAAAAACAAATTAATTTGGATACATATATACAGAAATAGAGATCTAGCTTGATTTCTTCATCAATATATCTGCAGATTTTATTCTCTATCTTGGTATACTCCTTTTCAATTAACATTTAGTTAAGTCATTATATCTTATTATATTCCTAATATACCTGAATTCCAATCCCTGCGCATCGTGTCATTATTTAACCCATAATCATTCCTCTTCCTATTTCTACTCTAAATATCGTTGTATAAACACCCGCACATGGGGTGATCGCAGTTCTAAGCACATTTGTTATACTCGTTATCAATTAACATCTTGTCAAGTCATTGGTATCTGTGCCAATAACAATACGACGGTCATAATCCAATTGATTTGGATTTTATAGTTATGCTAAAAATCGTACATCGCCGAAGTGGGAGCTAAACAAAAGTCAATAAATGAAATTTTTAATTATCATATGAACTTATGGATCTGTGCTAATTGAGTCTTCAGTTTGCAGTGCTAAAAAGGTAATCAATTCAATTAGAATTAGAGCTCAGAATATTTTACAAATATTAAAGAGATTAAATATAATTTGATTATATTTTATATTTTCCACGTGACTTGTCTAGAGCAAAGGAAAATGTAATTTTGTAATGACTATTTTTTTTTCTATCAATATTCCCATTGAGAGAATTAATATTATATCGAGAGCAAAAAAAAAACTATTTGAACTAAGACTAATAACAAATTGTCTGTCCAAGTCCATTTACTATGGTGTCAAATTAATAAATTTCGATTGATTTACTTTCTTATTTTTTTGGCAGAGTTATGTGCGGTTTATGTGACATGTTATTAGATTGAGCTGTGGATAAGAGACAGACAGACGGACAGTTGTTGCTCATCCACTTTATTGTTGGCTAACATAATTGAATGTTTTTTAAAATGTGAACAGAGCGCGTTGGCTCTTTGCCCAGGGGTCGGCTGGGCTTACAGCGTAGCGGAACGCTCGGGAACGGAACGGTGCGAAGTGGGCAGGACTAGCAAACGCATTGGCATTGTGTGACATCGAGGGACATAGCTACACACCCCTTCAGAGCGGCCCCATCCAGTTGGCTAGTTACTCAGCTCAGCTTGGGGCAGCTCCTGGCACTAGCTGCTGGCTCCAGTTCCCCGTGGGTGGCCGCTGTTGATTGTTTACACATTTTTGGCGGCGCTGGGCGGCGGGTAGCCAGACTCGTAGACAGATATATATGTATTTACATATATATATACATATACATTTACGCACCGCACCACTCAAACACACCCACTAGCAGCTGGTTTATACATCCATATCATATAGACACATACAGACAGACAGACTGACAGACTGACAAACTGACAGACGAACAGACCAGGGAGCTGGCGACTGGCTTGTTTGTATGGCGCTCGCTCGTGTAATTTAATTTAGTTTAGTTAAAGGCGCATTTCTTTTGCCATTTACCCAAGCGTGGAATATTTTTTTTTGCACAGAAGCCACGCGTACAGACGGAATCGGAATTGGAAATGCGAATTGCAATTGGAATTTGAATAGCGCCTTATGGGATATAATAAACTTGTATATGGAGAGCGTGTGAAGGTGGCAGCCACCCAATAACTGATTGAGAGTCTCAATTGAAGCTATGTATGTGGTAAAGAACTACTCCGGCTTACTTAGCATGCAATAGTTTAAGGACACTTCTTCAGTTCAAATTTGTTGAGCTGATGGCATAAAATATTTTAGAGCTGGAACAACTTAAACTAAATGAAAATATTATATTGCTTTGGCCCGCTGTCAATGGTAAGGCGAACGAGTATTGCGCAGTGGTTTACGCCCTACTGAAATAATTTTGCTTGTTATTATTTGATTGCCGAAAATACAACATGCACAAGACAAAAGGTATTCATTCATTTGTGCTACCTTTAATTTAAGGAAACTAGCCTTTGGTCTTTAGCTGTGGCAGTTGCGCCCGGAAAAGTCTATATGTAAGGCTAGAACAATGGGAATATTGTTGTTTTCGCATGGTTAAATGAGTCGAGCAACGCGATAAATAAACACCAACAGCAGCAGCAACGGAATCGCATAAAAGAATCGATAAATGTTGTATAAATAGCAGACTCTTTTGATATGAATTGCAAATTGGAATTGTAATTATTAGAATGCCCGGCAAGTGCAGCAGAAAAGCGCAATTCGAATGGAAAACAGAAAATGGAAAATACCGGTTGCATGGCAGTGGAACGGAGACGACTCCTCCTGCTGCCGCTGCTGCTGCTGATGATGTAAACACAAATACGAAATGCTCATACGCAGCGTGGTACGACATGAAACTATTTTTGAACATCTATACATATATACCGAAGCACTTTAAATGTATATTCCAGCTATATACACATACAAATGTTCTTTGTAGCTGCTGCAGCTGCTCTATTATAATTGTGAAGACTAAGTACTGCAACCTGTTGGGTGTCCAGTTTTTCAAGAACTTTGTGTACCTTGGTTAAACTATTTATTATTCTTTGGCAGTTCTTTATTTGTAGTTCTTGCTTATTCCAGATGCCTTTAAATTTCAGATTAAATTTGTTTAGTAAATAACATAAAATTGTTCAACCAAACAGTTATTCATTTCCAATTAATCAAGATTTTTTTTTTTTAGCTAAGGTCCATGGGTTTAGAGAGACATTTATATCTCAAGAGCTCAATATATATTGACAAATTTTTAGTTAAGGAAAATCGTTTGATAATGTCACGGATAAACCCAAATAATGACAAATTAAATTCACATCAAGTGTTATTAAAAATGTGTCAAAGAAGATGAAAACTGCTAAAAACTGGTATGATTATTTTTTGACACTTTTTCTAGTTGGCATGAGAGGTTTTTTAATTTGGCAAAAGCTGATTGTAAACAATTTTTCAAGTGAATGCTTATCGAACTGACAAACTGTCAACATATTTGATACGCTCCCCACACATATGCAGAGGTGTTAGTGTGTGTGTAGACACACATGTGGTTGCCTGTGGTGCGGTTGCTCTCCTTCTTGATAGCATTGGTAGCCCATTTGCTCGTTGACAATCGATCGAACGACAGCGCCATCTGTCGACTGCCGCTGTCAATTTTAATGATGCGCTCTGTGCATTTTTCACACGTGTAATCGTGTTTACTGACTTAGCGACGAGCGATGCGTTCTAACGGTTGTCATTGCAGTTCTCGTTGTTGTCGCTAGGGGGCGTGGCCAGTTAAGACAATATAGCAGTGGCACTGTGTGCACGTTAGCAGCCATCGTGTTGACAATTAATTTGGCTTCAAGGCTGTCAATCGTATCATCTTTCAAGACACATGTCGCAGCTCGTTCCTATGCACATGAATATCTACTTAGTGCTCTCTATGCAAGCTCACACACTCATTCAGTATTCAAAATAATTCAATATAAGTTCAACTGACACTAAACTTTCGAGTGCTCATTAAAATTTGCCTGTCTGCCCACAATTGAAGTGCTTACTTAAATCTGAGTATCATTTTTGTTTGATAGCTGCCAATTCTGTCTGTAAAGACAAAAAAAAAACGATAATAGCCAATCATATATTTTATATATCGTCTCTATGAGCTTGTAAGTATGCAATTACTATAGCAAGATACAAATAATATCTCAAAATGTAGCCGATTATTTTAACTGTAAGTTAATAGATAACAAATAGGCAGTCTGTAGCTAATTATCATACATTAGCATATATATTCTGTTTTTATAATAGTTGACGCAACTGTGCTTATATATATATAAACAAAAATATCTATATAATATATATATTTGTTTTTTTTTTTGTGTTTCTAGGTGTTTTTCTTAAAAGACCAAGTTTGTCAGCTAAAATTTAATCTTTAGTAAGAATGGTGGACTTGAATTTTATTGCTTAATGGCTCTTCAATATATAAACAGGGTGGGGCAACAGTAATCATCCGATGTTTCTTTTGCTCTAAATTTGTAGTAAGTAATCACCCTATTATAAAACGCAATAACTATTGTAAATGGCGCCAAATGTCGTTCGTCAATTTATATTCTGCATTTGTTTACTTCACAAGTGTCAAAACCAAATTGACATTTGGCGCCATTTGCAAAAGCTATAGCGTTTTCCATACACATAATGTACATATAATGTTCAATGCCGAGAGCGTTTTAAATACAAAAAATTTCTAAGGAGGAATTTCATATTGATTTATTAACATTTAAATGAATTTTCTATAATTTGTCAAATATTTATTGCAGAGCCTTTAGCTTTGTATATTCTAAGCGATAAATCAGAGTTAATGTCAAAAATTATACTCACACGCGAACGGTTCTAAGAGCCAACGAAAATGTTTTTATTTGGTATTCTGGGTTTTATCATTTACTATTCATTACTTAACAAACATCTGTTATTTGAACATGTGTTGGAGTGTGTTGTATTTTTCGATATAGTTTAAGTTAAGTTCGTTATCTGCTGTAATAATTCTCTTTTGAGCTTGTTTGCGACACACGCACACACACACACATACACAAATTGTAAGCCGCCTAGCCAATTATAGTTTATGCGACGATTTCATTGGTATTCCCTTAATGAGCGCCCGACGCTGTAATGCAATTTTTACGATATCTATCATACGCCACGTTGTCGCTGTCCCACAACGCAGCACGGTAGCCAGCAGCCGGAGCAGCGAATTAATTAAACAATATGCGAGAAATGTGTTTGGGTTGGTGGTGGGTGGAGAACTCAGTTTGTGCTTGTGGTAGATTTCACCACCGGCCGCAGGTCACAGTAGACGCATAAAATTTAATGCCTTGGCGGCGATAAGCATACAACTTGAGCTCTGACTAAGTATCTCCAGGGTTTTCTAGCCTCAGCTACTCTTAATTGATTGATAAGGCGTCTCATGGTTACTCTCAGCAAAGGTACAAATACATATTGCCCCCACTTAGATAATAGTCAACTTTTGGCGACGTCATCGTTTCCAATTGTTTACACGCACAAATCAGTTGGCTCCCAGATAAGTACAAGAGGCAACATTGCGTATACGTCATGGAAAACGTATAGGAAATGCGAAATGAAAATTGTTTAAGTAAATAAATAAAGCAATCGTGCTAATAAATAATGTATACTACACAGCGTGTATTTTCTAATACCCTATATATTGAAAGCTATTTTAAAGGCTATGCTCAAGGTAGGCAAACGTGTGTGAGTGATAGATAAATAGATAGATTTTCTGTTGTAAATTAATGAAAAGTTTTTTTAATGACAAACTATGTTCCAGATTCTATGCATAGCAGACATCGATAGTGTTTTGGTAAAGGGTATTTCTCTAGTCAACAGTGTTCAATGCAGTTGACTTTGTACACATGTCGACTGAACGGCCAGCATATATGATTATTTGAAAGCTATACAATTTTGATTTCTAACCGAATTTACTTTCTACTATATATATTCGCGAGTGTTTTATGATTTTAAGATTTGGGCGTCCTACGATTTGGTTTGTTTATTGGTCGAGCACTTGAAATGTTTTCAAATACACATAAACAGATGCAGATGGGTCGATCATGTTGATGTCTTGGCATTAAAGGGCCACAGCATCTACAGTAAAGCCACATGGGCTTCAGGTCAAAATCAAACGTGACGTCGAATCGATTTTAAATATTACAAATATGAAAGAAATGCGAAATGCTTAAGGAATGTTGTTTCTTGCGGCACATGATATTTGAAATATTTATTATTGGCTGGCTGTGGCATTGCTGCTGATATATTTATATATATATATATATATATATATATATATATATATATATATATATATATATATATATATATATATATATATATATATATATATATATATATGTATATATATTATTATCTATTGTACTACCAACATTTCTGCTGAAACTTAGGATTGATATAATCCACATGAAATTGTTTTAAAATTATAATTAGTTATAATTCATCTACTTCCATCTACTATCTACAAAAGTGCGCTTTGGCGCTTCATAGCTCAGTTAAAATCATTAATTCACTAATAATGAATTTGAAGCCTGTCTTTAGCTGCTTGGAATTTCAATTTAAATATTTAGCACTTTGTATATTCTTCGAAAAGCTATTTTAGCGTACTTTTCATATTTGTCACTGTGAATTTGCTGTTTTCGAAACTTACCTGATCTGCCGCCTCGCCTTGAAGTTCGCCTATTGAGGGGCGCTTCAAGTTTCGCATAGAGATGCGATAGTTATCCAAGCGCGGAAGCGTTTCCCTGTAACAATAGAAAGACAAAAGTTAATTTGTATCGATTGTTTGTGTAATTGGTATATGAAAAGTTATTCGTACTGATGAAACGGCATCAGAATTAATATCGACTCGGGCAGCATGAATGTAGCCCGCAGCTTGCGAGGCGCAAATACCAACTAGAGAGAAGCAAAAATATGTACTCGATGAAAATGCCGAACTAAGAACAAAAAAGTGGAAATATAAAACAAAAGAAAAAAGAAGAAAAATTATAATAAAACACTCTGAATTGAGAAAATCGGATTGGTCAAGGTGCCCAAGGGGAAGGCCGCGTTTGGAGAAATGCTCATAAGTTGATGAAAAATCGCCCTAGGTTCTATCTTTTATTATTGTTTTATCTCTTTTTGCTCTGCTTCATTTTCTCATTGATCTGTTTCTGTCTGGCTCGGCAGGGAAACTGACTTCGCCCACTGACACGACCAGACTCTTTCAATTCTTTGATTATGTATATTTACTGATGGCAAAAGGAAAACAGAAACAGCAATTCCATTGCCAAAGATAATTTAAGTGCTTAAGATTCCCAACATTTTAGTATACTATAGTACAGAAGAAATTGCAATGAAATCGCCATAAAAAAACAAAAGCCAGATCGTCGATCCAGACTGGATGGAGGCGTACCGAAAGAGGTTTATCATAATATATCTGTTAACAAAAATCATCTTTAAATATATCATAAAATGTATGATAATATCTTTAATTGATCATAGGTTACTAATTGATCATTTTATTTACCTAACTTCGAATACAATTTTTTACGTTGCATACTTTCTGCAGACATTTTTCTTACAGATGAAAAATTGTCATAGATTGATTAGGGTTTTCTGATTATGTTAAACAGTATTCAGATATGTATATATAAATATAAAATATTAAAGCTTGAGGAATTAAATTATATCTGATGGAAACTAGTTATTTATAATACCAACTGCCATGGATGATATCTTTTAGCAAGAAAATTTATGAATGTTTATCAAGAAAAGCCAACGGAAATGGAGGTGTTTGCCTGCTTTGAATATTGCTATAATAATACACATGAGATCTATACATTAAGCCAATATTTTGTAAAGTACAGAAAGTATTTCTGGTTATTCATTTTGATTTCTTAATTTCCAATTCAGCTTTCAGACAGCGAGAACAAAGCAGCGCATCCAAAAGATACAAAATAAACAATTCTCGTTGCATTTTGTAGCTTTATATAAAATATGTGTTTGTGTGTTTGAGTGTGTGTGTGTATGCGTATATTGATCTATTGGCTGTGCGGCGGTTTCGTTGGGACTTAGCTAGTTTGATTTAGTTGTACAATTGATGAAGAAATATGAAAGACAAACTCAGCCCCAGAGTGAGCTCTGCACTCTCGGTCCGTCCCTCCCGATGGCCGTCTGCTTCGATCAATTGAGTTCGTTTACTGTGGCTCGCTCTGCTATGATATCACATACAGAAGTCTTGGCAACGGCCAATGACTAATTTGTTGTTGGCACACACAAGTCATCAGCACGTGAACCCATCAACTCCCAAACCGCATCAATACAGACCCATCCCGTTGAGAGTTATGTGGGGTACAAATTGCTTGGCTTTTTCCCCAATTAAATATACATAAACGCGTCTATCAATGCAAGGTGGCAATGTTAACCGAGTTGAGCGACTTTGAGAACTAGTTGCCAATTCAGTTTTCCAGCTTCGCTCCTATATTAGTTTTTTTTTTTTTATTGGTTTGCCTCGACTCGTCTCGGACTTTGCTGATGTAACTTGTTTGCCCAGTGCAAAGTTTTCAAAATTGAATTTACGTTCGCATTTCATTCAGAAAATTGAATGCTTACATTTAGTTTCTTGGACGGCTTCTTGGCATGTTTTTAATTGAATTTAATTTGCAGTTTCTTCACGTTTTTGTGCTTGGGAAAGCGTCAAAACATGCAGCAATCGCTATCCAAATGGAATATTTGTGCTAATTTGTATATTTGATTAAACTGATCTTGGCCCGATGGTTGACTTGCTGACCTGTCATGTGCTTACAGTTTCTTCTTCATCTCGACTATGACTAATACGTCTTCGTTTCAAGTTAAAATTTACTCAATGAGGTTGTAAAATTAATAAAAATAAGTTCAATGGGAAAGGGCTTGTCGTACTGAGTCGGTTGAAGGAAGCTGTAGAAAGAATATCTTCTTCTATCTTTTCGATAAGTATTTGCCATCCTTCTTCTCTTCTTTGCCCACTTCTTCTTTGTTCCTTTTTCTCTTGGTTTACTTCTTATATTTGGCTTTCTCAACTTTTCTTTTCTCTTTCTTGAAATTAGTTCCTTTCCTTTCCTTGTCTTCCATTGTTTTTTCTTCATTTCTAATCATATATCTTTTCTTATTTTAATTTGTCTTCCTTCAACTCTACTTCTCTTATCTACTCTACACATTTATAATCATAGATCACAGCAAAGTCATTAAATTATGGGCGCCATAGCTGGATTAGCTTTTATCGCTTTTTTTATAAATTTGAAATTCACGTGTCTACGTCATTATAAAGCCACAAAAGAATCGGAATATTGGTTATTTTACAGTATCTACGCACTTCTAATTTAACCTGTTCCTCATGGAAATCACAACAAATGTTCAGCTTTTTAGTGGCTCACCTCCACAAGCCTTAGGTAAACCTGAAAATTCGCTTTTTATTCTCACATGCTTTAATCTTTCATCTCTAATTTTAGCTAGTCAAACTCTCTATAATTACCAAGCCTATTAAAAAATTATCTTTATAATGTATTTTCAATTGTGTTTCTTTTTTTTTTAATTTTTATATCAAATATTTAATCTGTTCACATTGTAGAAAACTCAGTCCCACGTGAATATAAGTGAGATTTATAATTTATTTCGCTAACTTCGCACTTTATGGTACGCTTATTTTGCTCAATATGTATTATACAAATGAAAAACCATTGAAGTTTTTAAATAATAATAAACAAAGTAAAGTGAAGCAACCTCCATTCAAGTTTTACAAATAAAAACAATAATTTCCTCTTCATGGTGACTTTATTTATTTTTTATTTTGTATATTTTATGTGTGTGTTTTAACAATTTACTTCATTTAAATATTTTTGCGTATTTTTTGCGCTTTACTACGTTTTGTTTGAGTGAGTTTCTATGCTCTCTTTGAATACCCTACACACGTCATTTTTAAAACATTCAATGGGGTGCTCGTATGAAACCAATTGATTTTATTATCTAAGAGGTATTGGGTATCTATTAGTCGAATACTCTCGATTAGTGCCATTTTTAAAATTTAAAATAAATTGTTTGGCAATGTAACTGTCACATATCGTTTTTATTTATATAATAATTCGAATGCTAAAAAGTCTATTAACGGGCTTTTTCTAGTCAAAACGTTGCTAGTCGGTCGTAGCCGAATGCATAATACTTGTTCATGTCTAAAAAACAATAACAATAATATGTATCACATCACGTTTCCTAATTTGTCACAGTTAGAGACGAATTAACTATTTGACTGATCCATCTATAGAGTAAGTCGATTCTAAAATATGTGCCGATCTGCTATACGAATGTATATAACGCAAAATACCCGTTTCAGCTCGTGAACGAGCATATAAAGTGATTGCGGTGCAATTAATATGCATGTTGGATAATTAACTTTTAAATAGATTTACCGACTATTATATGATTTGGTTAGCTTTACTGAATCACGCTCAATGATAATTGATTAAATGCAGCAATTCTTAGAAGAGAATAAAAATGTAATCATTTAATGTTTATCAGGCGAGAGCCACACATTATAGCTATATACTAAATATATAACATACATGTATGTATATTTATTGGTGATATCATTGAAATCAAGAAACCAATTTATAGCACAACAAATTGTTAACAATGTTAAGTGATTAATAAATTGTTGAGGTTCAACAAAATTCAATCGTTTTTTTGTGTAAAAGTTATTAAACTGTATTTTCGTGTAAGCGAAGAATATTCGAAAGATAATATTTGCAGCCATAAAATAGGTTTTGTAAAAAGAAAAATGAACTCATAAATAAATTGAATTCCATCAGCGCCATTGCAAATAGTCAAAATACAATTAGTTGGGCCATTACGGCGTATTATACTAGCTATAATTATAAACAGTATGCAGAATAAACTAAACAAAGGTTGTAACTTAAATGAATGAATCTTTGTTTGGCATTAAGGCTTTTAATGAAATTATTTATGCAAGCAATCAAAAACGTGAAAAATTCCCCAAAATATTTCTGACACGGCGCATTAAATCACGCTGAGATTCGAAAACATTTTTCAAGCATTGCAAATTCCATTCCAAATACACTTGAGATATAAAATGAAATATCATGAATTTAGCTGTATATTAACTGTATATTATATAGTATTTTTAGTTGTTATTGTTGTGGCACTCACTTTGTTAGCTGCGCCAGACTGAACTTGCGCTCGGCATCGGATTTGCGTAGAAATTGGCCAAAGCCGCGGAAGGATAAACGCGATGTTCGACGATTTTCGCCGCCATCTGCCGCTTTGGGCTGCAGATGGTTGTCGTGGGCGTGGCCGCTGGCATCAGCGCCAATTGTAGCTGGACCATTCGATGGCTGTTCCGCATTGGCTGCGCAGCCGGGTTCCGCGTCGAAAGCGGCATTGACATTGGCACTGCCATTAACCTTTGAGATCTGAAAACGATCTGCCATTGTTATGAATTGCTGCTGCTTTTGCTGCTGATGATTCAACTTGAATTTTGTGTGTTTTTATTTTTGGGAGTTTCTTATTGTTTTCAACTGGTTGTGTAAGGCTGACAACTGTTATTGCACTAAACGAAATGATTGTTATTCAACGCACACATTTGCATCGCACTCGAGGACCGAGCAGGACCTTTAGAAGCAAGACAATGGAGTGCTCAGCTTTGACACGTTCACCCGACGAAGTTTCAGCAGCGTTTAATAACAAATCGAAAATATTGTCATATATTTAACGCGTGGCATTCGAACTAAACATTTATATGCATAGTGGAGAGATACGTATCGGTTGGTTTGACGTTATTTAGCACTTTACATATGACGGCTAACGAAATGCTGTACGCGCCGGTTACAGCTTGCAACTTCACGCGCTGGCTGTCGCACGTCGTTTGAGCGTTGTCAAGTGTTTGCCGTTGGATTATTATGGTTTTTTGATTATGGACACCATTCAGACTGTGTGCTGCTACGGCTTTCGCTTGATTACCAATCAAATACGTAAAGCGTAAGAATAAGCGCAGCGCGCCTGTGTGTGAGAGTGAGTGTGGTGAGTTTCCAACAAGTGTTTTTTTTTGTTTGCTCCCAGCTAAATTTCAACACACGTGCTTGCATGTATGAGTATAGTAACAGTGGTGGCGCTGCTCTCTGTTGAGAATATAGAGGCGCCAGCAACATCAGCAGCAGCAGCAACAGCGTGTTAATCTTGCAGAGAATAAAAATAAAGTCAACTAAAGTAAACATTACAGTTGGACATTTATATTAACAGCAATTACTGGTAGTGTGCCCAGTATTTAATAACTAATTATACTGATACACGCTTGTGTGCCAGGACCTGTTGGCAGCTGTCTGCTGGTATATTTTTGCGGTATTTTAGGCGCGCTAAATAATACTAATTGCAGCGACATTTGTTAATTTGAGAGTGGCGCTTTTTCTGAAATTTTAGTTGGATTTATTAATAATTTCCTCTTTGAGTTGCTTATGGCTGATATTAGCTTGTTTTTCTTTTGTTTACTTAATTCGTAACAATGTGACGCCGACACTCAAATCGCACCACCACTATCGCATACACCAGTTCATAACATCTTTACTACCCAGAAAGCAACAACTACACTAACCTCAACAGCAATAACAACAGCAACCACAATCTGGCCAAAGAGCGTAGCGAAAACCTCTTTAATCGAATTAAAATCGGTTTTATCTGGTTTGATTGGCTGGCAACTTGTTGCCAGCAGAGCCAAAAGGCAGTTACACTTCAAATGAAAACGAAACGGAACACAAGAGCAAAGAGTTTCTACTGCTGCTGCTGATGCTTCTGCTGAAATATATGAAAGTTACTCTTCGCCTCATTGTTCCCGTCCACCGATCGAAACCGACCAAGACCAACCGACGAAGCGTCGTGTCGCACAGAGAATAAAAGAGGTTCTCATGTTAACAAGATTGGCTTACTGCTACAGCTTCTGCTGGCTAATACTGCTGGCCACATCTCGTGTACCCACTCCATTTCTCTTTATTTTCTTTTTTTTTTTAAGTTTGTTGCGCTGTGGCGCTCTCTTTTGAATGTGCTCTTTGCAGGGAAATTTTCCAATGTATTCTAAATTTTGTAAACAAGTTTATTTGTAGCCCTTCGGTAAGTCTAATAACTAGTTTTAATTACGTGCTTGTTTTTCAGTCATTTGATCACTTTAGGTTAACGAACCGAAATGTTCTCGAGCTCCAAGCAATGCTTAGGCAGATCAACGTTTCTCCTTGACAGCGCGTGAAAATGTAAAAAGCTAAACAGATCTTATTATAATATAATAGAAAGGCAGTGTTAGTATCTTATCTCTTTCTTAATCCCAGCACTGCACGTGGCAAAGTGGTTCTCACAATAGCGTAGAAATACCCCAATCGGAATGCTGGAAGGGTATTCATAAATTACTCATACGCAGTGTGGCTCTGTTAGAAATCTAAAAGCTATAATATTATTATATAAATCTGTTTGTTATTATTATCCTTTTATTGTTGTCTAATTGCAAATAATTATCTTATCTAACAACTAAATATATTATAATACCTAAAATGGTTAGCAGCTATATAAAGCATCGTAAAAATTTATTAATAAATTAATAAAAATTTATTATTCACATGTTTGAGTAATAAATATATAAATATCCAAATGTATGCTCACATTTACGATGTATTTTTCACACTTATTTGGCGCTAGTATTTGGGCAATTTCTCATGCCAATTATTAATAGTTTACACATTGTTTATAATTTTCACATTTCGATACGATTTCAATTTCTTTTCAAGAACTACTATATAGCTTGTTTGTGGCACAGTTTAGTAAAGCTCATATGCTTACAATGCTCCCAGCAGCAAGCCATATATAATTTAGAATCTATATATATATATATATATATATATACAGTAGAAATATCTATACATATATTTTACTACAGACGAGTGGTTTATTGTTTATTTTTGCTGGCATAATTCAATTGTTGCCCAATTCCCTCATCGATTCCTATTCCTATTCTTCGCATCTATTTGTGGTTCTTGATTTTGGGCTCTAAAGTCTATTCTTCTTTCATTTTTGCCTTCAAAGATGGCAAGCGGCAAATTTTGTTTTATATTTTGTTTAAAGTTATAAACTTAATTTGTTTACGAACGACTACTCATAAAATTTGAATTGCTTCAATAATTTTCTAATTGGCATTGGATAAATGTTTTGATTTTAACTCAACCAAATACCCTGTAGATGTTTAGATATAGGCCAAGTGAAGCTGTCTTAATAGGTATTTCTTTTAATTAATATTAACTTCAACTATTTCACAAGCTTCTAGCTTGACTTAAGCATTTGCATTAACTTTGAATCAATTTAAGATAAAATAACTTGAATTGTTTTCTAAAGGGTATTCCTAAGTTGTTGCCCTGCAATATATCTGTTTGTTGTTATTTTTTATCATTATGGACAAAGATATTATTTTTAAAAAAGTTATAGCTATAAGTGAGATAAAGCTTTAGTTTTAGATAGCTTAGCTGATCAACTTGATGACTTTACATGTAAATACGTTTAGCAAAGCCTAAATATAGCTTGGGTAAACACATATTTCTTGGGATAGGTCATATTTGAGGAGCAAAGTCTGCTGCTAGGTGAAACATTAACGTTGACCTTCTATGAAAATCAAGGTAAGCCTAACCAAACCGAACCTGTTGCAAGCGGTTCAATTGACACTCATTGATTAGCACCTGATGACAGGGCAAGCTTCAAGCCACGTGGAGAGCCGTCTCTAGCTAGCCAAGGGTTAAATTCGTCTAATTAATAGAGTCAACAGTTCGTGAAACAGAGAAATTGATTATCTTACAGCGCAAATGAAATGCTGTCAAGTCGATCGTATTGTATAACAGTTTGTATATTGGCTAATTGGTGGACTTGTAAGAATACCTCTACATCTATATCTTGATGTAGCCAATAGACGATGAACATTTCATTCATGGCAAATTTAGTTTGGTTGCAGCTTCGATATCCGTCTGAGGGTCGCGTGCTGGCGCAGTGGACAATGTCGGCATCTATCAATTAGCTTCGGCTTTTTGGACCATTTTTACGCATACGAAATACAACAACAATTACAATTATCAAAAATTATTTCACACTCGATCATTAATTGAATTAACTGCTTTATACCACTTTAAAAAGGTTTCAATTTGGCGCATCCAGCGCCAAGCGCTGCGACATTTCCGCACAGATCGACAAGTATCTAGATACAATCGCTTCCACAGAGAGCAGAGCCTTTGTCATTTCAATTATTAATGTGTGTCGACGCGTCGCCTGAAAGTTTAAATGGAAATGCCTGATGTCAATTGAACTCCTTGCCAACGTCATGGACCCATGTTTACGCAGCCACTTAGTAGTCCCATGAAGATATCGCTGACTCCCTGTTAACTATTTAGATAAACAGCAACATAGTTGCGTCTACAGCTCAATAATAACGACAGCTGAAAGTGAAATGTGAGGCCAAACCAATGTCAATTCTTAACAGAGCGTTTCATTCTCTGACCCCGAGCTCTATGATCGTTCGAAATTCTTTCATGCGACGGCACTTTAGTCTCTTTCCTCAGTTATTCAGCTATTTGCTCTGAGCATTCTCTCTTATCTTATCTTATCTATTCTTCTGTTTTGTTACTTACCTTGATTGTAGCATACTTTTTGAAGCCTTCCTCGAAGAAGTTACCTGGGATACCAAGAGCGTTAGACTATACCAACTGATCATCAAATATGTTTATAAGGTATATATTTTATTGCTAGATATATAATGATACTTTTAAGGAGCGTATCATTTAGCTTGTCATTCAGATTGCCAGATTTCTACATTATTTATAAAGCCAAATTATAAATATATTCTAACTATAAAACATACATTTGTAACTTTTAAATATCAAAATTTATAATAGATAACAAAAAAATGTTCAAATTTCTTAGAAGTAGATATCGAATTTTCTGACTCAGTTCAAGCAATTGCAAATTCACGTCTTAATTCGAATGTGTAAACTAATTATTTTTAGCGTGGAACTTAGCATATTGCTGATCCATTGGCAGTTCTTTCGCACACAGTCGCATTTCAATCTGGACTTGCACTGGGCGGCTGTGCTGGGGATTTTTGCTGTAGTCTGCGCTCAACTCAGTTAATTCACTTGAGTTAAAGTTATTTTTTAAATATCCTGTAGGCATTGAAAATGCATAAGTGGGGGTATATTTATTTTGTGCAGACAAAAAGATGCATATCACATATCTGAAAATTTATGTTCATACTTATTCGAGAATCTGAAGACGAATTCTAACCCCCAACTCATGTCCGTCAATACGTCGCATGATAGTGTGAATTTCATAGTAGTTTTGATTGTTATAATTGGTTTATAAATGAACAAATATTGTAGGTTATTGTAAAAATATACAACTTATGTTAGTGTATTAGTATTCTGAGATATAGAAATGAAAATTTGTATAAAAAGTGTCACTTTAGTTAAACTATACTATACGGCAGTTCTGACCCAATTATATAATAAATAATAAACCTGTATTGAAGATACATTATATATTTTTATTTAGGGTAACTCTCAGTCGTGCACTCGATTATATATCGTCTAGAAATTTAGTTTATATATACACACAAATAGAAAAAACATCAAACTCCCTTTTGTACAGGGTAACTCCTAGCTGAGCGTCACTTCGATTTAAGCAGCATTACTTGTTTTTTGCTTTTGTTTTTGCAAGTCGGCTAACGAAGCATCACCCAGTCATTAATGGGTCCGATTCGAACCGCTTTGTTGCAGTTACAACTCGCTCAGCGCCGGCTCGTCTGGACGGCTGGCTGCTCAGTTATTCAGTCGGCTGGCCGCTTGGCTGCTTGGCTGGTTGCCTGGTTGCCTGGCAGTTATTGTTTTTGTAGTCGTTGTCGTTGTCGTTGTCTGGCTGTGGTGCGGCAAGTGTGACAATTAATAAACTAAATA